AAAAAAAAAAAAAAAAAAAAGGAGGGGATTCGAACCCACAACCTTCAGATTACCAATTCGCTACTCTAACCAATGTAGCTATCACGAGTTACACAAACATAAAGAATTAAATATGTTAATTGCCATGAGTTGAGACGATTGAAATGAATAAATGAAACATATGGGCTATTAAATAAGAATGAAAATAGCGTAAATAAAAAATTATGACAAAAGTCGAAAAATCATTTGAAAAAAATTTCGTTAATTAAATTTGTGATTTTCTGCATTTAAAGATAATACTGCAGCCACCGGGGGTGAACTGATGGCCTACAACCCGACCTCCAGTCTTCTTGACTTCGATGACGACATTTTTGGTGTATCAAACCCATCAATAAACAGTCCAGTGAATCCAGCCAGCATCCAAAATTTCTACAGTCCTGATCCCCTGGGCCTGGAGGACAGCAAGGGAGCTCTTCTCGAGGCTCTAGCAGCACAGAATAACGCCAATTCGTCCACCAGTTCGTAGATTATTCATCATTGGTGAGTCCTCTTCAACTATAAACAAAGAAAAATGCTGTTAAAACTTTTCTGTGGCTGGTTTCAACGATTAACGACTAATTTTGTTAATTTTCGATATCTGGACGCTATTGTAACAAAAATGACTTTAGAACTGTTTTGTTCACATCTTCGCAGTCACTCTTCCATTTTTTAATTTCCTCTGCACCTGAAGTTGTTCAAAATCCATTGAGTTTCAATATTTGAGGGACATTTAAGACTGAATACATGTATTTTCGAATAATCTAAATGAAAGAATAACATTGTTATCTTTCATTCGATGAATAAATCCATGAGAATTAATTATTAGGGTTTAAGACGAATTGATATGTATTCATTTGCGAAAATTAATCAATTCAATTGAATTGTTACCATTATCTCTCAAAATCAATTAATTTTGTCATTTATAGTTCATTTATGCTTCATGAAAACTTTGGTGTCGCCTCATTTTCACTCCAGAAAACAGAAACAATAAGATTAAAAGACTATTATAAGTACTAATGAAAAAATAAATGAATAAATCATCAATTTTTCTGTCATTTTAGCCTTGGAAAACAGCTGGATAATCTAGGCGATGAATAATTTCTTGAGAAAACTGTTTCGAAAAAAGATGATTTATCAATTAAGTTGAAGAGTCCATTAATAGCAATAGTTCATCAATTTATTAACGAAAAATAAGCACATACTCACCACGAATACTGTAGACGTAAGATGATGGATTAAACGCAGTTTGAATTCTCAAAATCAATATTTGTACGTCATAATTGAATTTTTAGCTGAATCAAATCAAATATGAATGGATAATTAACTTTAAACCATTAAAATATAGACTCAACAGGCTTGAGATATGACGAATTATCAGATCTTTTTCGAAGCAAACGAGATTTTCAAAACAACGTTGTAAATAATCTGGGCGATGACCCCAGAAATCGATCGATGAGTAAATATAGATGGTGAGTGATTTTATTTAATACTGTGTTTATTTTTTATCTCCCACAACGCAACAGCGTTTATCCTCACTGAGATAAATAATTAACCAATTAAAGTTGTGAGAATTTGATTATTGGGAATGGGTAATTGTAAAATGCTTTTAAACTGCATTCAACTCTTATAATCGAGTGAATAAATTATCGAGAGATGAAAGTTATTCGTTTGTTAATATCATCAGTTATTTTTGGATTTTTTTTGCTTCCGAATGGAAGCTTTTTATTGGGATGATAGGTACCTCTGCGTTTATTTTGCACTAATGATGAATAATCATTCGGTTTGGTTTCACAATTAAATTCAAGCAAGAAGAAACAATAAGGGAGAATAATAATGAAAGAATGAGTAATATCGAGTGCAAGTAATTTTTCTCTTTTACATTGAATAAATTAAAGACAATGTTTTTAGTAAGAAAAATATATTTTTCATTCGGGATTAAGTGTGAATACAGCATCAACCAAACTGAGAATTCATAATTTATATTATCGATTGGAATTATTCTATTACCTATTAGAATTCACGTTTATCCTCGTTATGGTGCTATATCTCATTATGGTATCTTTTTTCCACGATAACTTAGGATTAAGTCTGCTGTTTGGAATTATTTTAACGAACATAAAGAATTAAATACGTTAATTGTCATGAGTTCAGGAGGTGATTGAAATAAATAAATGAAATATAGAGTATATTAAATAATAATGAAAATAGCGTTGAAAAATTATAACAACTCTTTGGTACTTTTTTACGTCCAGACCTGCAGCTTTTAAGTCGAAAAATCATTTGAAAAAAAATTTCACCTGAAATTTCGTTATTTTTAATTGTTCGACTGCATCATGTCCTGAACCCCTCGAGTGTAAATTATTATTTGATCGAGAATGGCTCGAACATTTTGCATAATTAGTCGATATTTATCATCACATTTTCAATGTATTAGATTTTAGAAACTGAATTTATTAACACTGTAAAAATAATATACGGATTTTGTTCTCATTGGGATTGAAATTTTTATAAAATCCATTCTGTACTTCAGTTTTTCATTGGATACCAACTACTCGCAAATTGTTGTATTTAAACTTTCAATTTTTACGTGATTCTCTAAAAATGTCAGAAGCAGAATGGAAAGAGAAGAAATATTAGACCTAAATAACGACTTCTAAATACAGTAATTGGTGAATACTGACGTAAAAATATGTAAAAAATGTCAACAATGGTAAATTTATGTGTAAATACAGTTGATAAGTAATGACACAATTTTATTTGATTGATCCATGTTTCCCCGATTGTTGTTAATGCTCTCTGATGCGCAATTTCAACGTGAAAATCCAAGCGAAGGATTATCTGCGCAGTAGAGGAGGGGTGGGTGCGTCTCGGGGGCCCAGAATTTCCGATTGATCCGAGTATTTGACGTGGAACAGGTGGACGAGGCTCTCGATGCCGACGGAGGAGATACCTCGGCAGGAGCGAGCGTCTAGATATTGGAGAGACTTGCAGTTGAGCTTTATCGCGTCTAGAGAGTGGTCAGTCAGTTGAGAACAGCTCTGAAAATGATAAAAATGATGTTTTCGAATTTATTCATCATTTGGGGGCGACGCCCCCCTCCTCTTTAACCTGTGGGATTTTTTCCTCACCTGAAGATGCAGACGCTTCAGTCTATGCAGCCTCTCCACAACATACTGAATCCCCACATCCGTGACATTGTGACACTGCGATAAATTCAGATCCTCAATGGCTCTGTTGTTCCTCGTCAGGTGATCCAGCCCCACGTGTGTTATCTAGACAAAATCCCATTATCAAATAAAAAAATTATTGCACTCGAATTCTTCCTATTTATAAAATGCATTAAAGCAAGTTCAGAACGATTTGAAGCCGTCTAACGGTTTTAAAAATTGTTTGAAAATGCGAGGTGAAGGGCAACTCTCGCCGCCATATTGCTTGCAACCCCCTCCCTGAATCTCAATGGCCTCCCAAGATGGCGGCGTCCAGACCTGTTCTCACCTCGCATTTTCAAACATTCTTAAAAATTGTTTATTCTCCCCAAACGACTCCCAACTCATTTCACCACACTCTCTTCACCGGAACGTTTCCAACACGATAATTTTTTTTCAATTCTCAGATTTTCTGTCAAAGTTTCGAGACTAAAACCCTGAGACACTGTCGATCGGGAGAGGGGGGAAGAGAATTAAGAGTCAAATACTAGATTCCCCCTGAAATCCATGAGCATTACCTGCTGGCACATGCTCAGGTCAAGCACCCTCAACTCGAGAAACGTAAACGCATGCTTGAGACTGACATCAGTGACCCTATTGCACCCCGCAAGGTCGAGTTCCCTGAGCCCCCTCAGTCTCAATAATGAGTACCCAGGTGCGATATCAAAGTCCAAACTGGAGCCAGTGTCCTCGCACATCTCCATGACCTCCCGCTTCCTGTTGGCGTCCCTCACGATCTCCTCCTCCGCCCTGGAGCCCAGACTGATCCTCAACTTGGCCCCCGCGATCTCCTGTATCCTGCTGACCTCAGCCGAGCACTCAGGCAGAACCAGATGGTCCCTAGCCCCCGCCCCCATTCCCGTCAGTCCGGCGTCGCTGACCTTGTCGCACCTGCTGATCCTCAATTTCCTGATGGCCGTCAGTTCCTTGAAGATCTTCTGAACCGTCTTATCAGTGACTGCACTGAAGCAATACCCAATGTCCAGGGACTTGAGCTGTTTGAAACTGGCAGCAATGCACTCAATGGCCTTTTCATCGAGATTCAAGGCGTTCGCCGACAGAATCTCGAGATTCTCATTGAACGAATCCTGCCCCATCACCAGGTGATTCTGGGCCGAATTCGGATTGATGTTCTCGGACTCCCAGACCTGCTCCTCGTCGTTGGGCCCACCTAGCCGGTTGGGCTTGCAGAGGCCCTGAGTGATGCAGCCACTGGTCAGCTGATCGCACTCGGAGATGTCCAGCTCCTTCAGCCTCTTCAGGCACCTGATCTGGCAGATTCCGTAGTTGGTGACAGCTCGACATCTCCTGATGTTGAGTGTCTCCAGGTTCTCGAGGTTCTGGCAAATGCAGAGGAGACTTGCGTCGGTCACGCGAGTACAGAAGCTCAGGTCCAGGACCTTCAGGCTTCTCTGGTGGACCAGGGTCCGGAGACCAGAGTTCGACAGCTGATCGCAGGACCTTGTGGGAATATCAAGGAGTAAAACAGGAATTAAAATTACCGAATGAGGTGACGGTGAATTTACATGACAATGGGATAAATGACATAACCACATAACCCTTAATCTAACCCGCGTGGCCCTTATTTGGACACTTATTCTCCCCCTAATCTGAACCTTGCGATCCTTATTCTGACCCTTATGATCCTGGAGACCCTTAATTTGACCCTTGCGGCCCTCATTCGGACCCTCATGATCCTTATTTTGTGACCCTCGTGGCCCTTATTTGGACCCTTATTCTCACCTTTAATTAGACCCTCGTGACCCTTATTCTGACCCTCATGAGCCTCGAGACCCTTATTTTAACCCTCATAACACTTAATCTGACCCTTGTGGCCCTCGTTCGGACCCTCATGATCCTTATTTTGTGACCCTCGGGGCCCTTATTTCGACTCTCATAACCCTTATTCTAATCCTGCATAACCCTTAATTTAACCCTTGCGGCCCTTATTCTCACCCTTAATCTGACCCTTAAGACCCTTGTGGCCCTTATATGACCTTCATGAGCCTTATTTTGTAAGCCTCGAGACCCTTATTTTGACCCTCATAACCCTTATCCTGACCCTCATGACCCTTAATTTCGAGTACCAATTTTTTTTTAATTTATAATTGCTCAAAGCTAATCATGTATTTCATTCTTGAGGTTACACTGTGACCATTTTTGCCATTCGTATTTTACTGAAGACTTAATTATTCGAATTTTTATGGTGATATTTCTTCTCGCGCTCTTTTCCAAATTTAGTCTACTGATTTATCGTTGTTTATGAACTGATTTTGTTAAAATGATTGCAATCGGCCTCATATTTTAGTCCTCTAAATTCTTAAATATCAACTTATAACTTGTTTACTACAACCTGAGCTTGAGCGAGAGGAGCTGGAGGCCGTCGACGGTGGCCAGGGTGCTCAGCGCTGTGCTGTCTATCAGGGTGCGACCCAGGCTCAGGTGCTTCAGTCTCTTCGCTTGCTTCTTTATGTACTCCAGGACGTTGAAGAACGTGAGGACCGACTCGGAGGCCTGATCGAGGGAGCTCCTCGCGGGGTAGAACTTCTTGTAGAGGCCGGAGTGAAACGAGATCTGGCAGTCTGTGAGGCTCAGCGACTCCAAGTTCGGGCAGATCGAGATCAGGCGGTTGAACAGGGCGTCACTGAGGTACCTGTTGGAGGCCAGGCTCAGCTCCACCAGGGACTTCAGGTTGTTCGAAATTTCTTTTACGTCATTTTCGTCGTCCAGGAGACGACCGGACATTAGACACTCTCGACAGGCGTTTATGTGGATTGTCTGCAGGTTCGTGCAGGATTTCAGGATGTGGACGAGAGTTCTCTCACTCAAGTCGCAACATACCTGGGGATTTTTATGATACAACCTCATTTTTTCCCGTTTATTGGTATTTATGTTATTTTTTTTATATTTATAGCCGCATTTTTTAATATTTATTGATGATCATAACAATGGGATTTTTAATAATTATTGTTAGGAGCCCTTGCGAGTAAAAACAAAATTAGTAAAATTCGGGAAGAAATTTGTGATGGGATTTCTCAGCCCAAAGTGGATGGAAAAATCTGAAAGATGGCTCAAAATATTGGTTCATTTTATAGGAACCCGATGAGGGGAGTTGAAGGTGATTTGAAGAGGTCAAATATTTTTTTTTAGTGATTGAAAATGCGAGGTGGGAGCGCCGCCATCTTTGAACTCCCTTGTGACACATGGAGGGGGAATTCAAGATGGCGGTGTCCACACCTGATAATCACCTCGCATTTTTGACCATCTCTCACAATTATTTGTCCTCTTCAAATCACCTCCAACTCGTTTTATTCAATTTCGAAAAAAGGAACAATTTTTTCAACGACTTCTGCATTTTAGATTTTTTTCTCCCGGTGCCCTCCTAATTAAAGAATTATAATTGATAATTTATCACTATTATTAATCGTGATGAGGATGGACTTTAATGGTGAAGGGATTTGGGGATGTTTTCAATGAAAAAAAAATTGTCAAAATATTTTCAATGAGCGAATTATTATTATTTTCAATTACCATAGTGGATGGAAAAATCTGAAAGATGGCTCAAAATATTGGTTCATTTTATAGGAACCCGATGAGGGGAGTTGAAGGTGATTTGAAGAGGTCAAATATTTTTTTTTAGTGATTGAAAATGCGAGGTGGGAGCGCCGCCATCTTTGAACTCCCTTGTGACACGTGGAGGGGGAATTCAAGATGGCGGTGTCCACACCTGATAATCACCTCGCATTTTTGACCATCTCTCACAATTATTTATCCTCTTCAAATCACCTCAAACTCGTTTTATTCAATTTCGAAAGAAGGAACAATTTTTTCAACGACTTCTGCATTTTAGATTTTTTTCTCCCGGTGGCCTCCTAATTAAAGAATTATAATTGATAATTTATCACTATTATTAATCGTGATGAGGATGGACTTTAATGGTGAAGGGATTTGGGGATGTTTTCAATGAAAAAAAAATTGTCAAAATATTTTCAATGAGCGAATTATTATTATTTTCAATTACCATAATCAAACTGCGCATAATAGGCCCAAATCTACTCCAAATGGGTAATGAAGCTTTCACTTCAATCTCCTTGAAGATAAAATGATAAAATGGTCTATTGGATACGGATAACGTATTCATGACATTCTGTAGATTATCCTCCTCACGACTGATGAGAAGCGCCTGACGATTAACAAATTTGGCGCTGACAGATGCCTCGTGCCAGTGCCTACACACGCGCCCAGCGGATATTCGATCCGACACCGAGAGGTACGACATTATGTGCATTATTACCTGTAGATCGAGAATTTATTACGAATTCAGTTGAGGAAAAAATGACAAAAGATGACCCGAAGACGTAGAATGATCGGATGATCGTGTTCATGTGGAGGCGAACGCAGTTGACGAAATGAGGGAAAAAAAATATTTACGAGAAAAATTTTGTAACGAGGAAAATTACGATTACGATTTATTTACCTCGATTGGTAACTGCGGATTGTCACTGTCCGACATGTCCATTACGTCGTTATTTTCACTGACTGCCATTGCGTCCTCAGCTGTTGGCCGAAGACTGCCACTTATTGAAAACATGTCCCAATGACTGGAGACAGTGACAACTCGGAGTGAGAGAGATGTCACATTATCGGAGGTGATCAGCTGACTAGTCCGGGACGTATCTACTGCATCTCAACAGCTGTGCGTCATATTTAAAAGGAGCGTAAGCAGTCACTGCGGCACCCGGGGCTGGCCTTCAGTAGAGAATGGCAATCACATGATGTTTCATCCCTCGTTTTTATTCTTTATCCCCATTTTTTCCGTCTTATAACAAAATTTTTTATTCACAATTTTTTTGGTTCATGTTATCAAAAAAAAGCGATTTTCATGAAGACCGAAAATTTGGAAAAATTTCGCGCCATTTTGCCATTTGCAATTTTTTCATTTGGGAAAATTTTCTCGGCTAAAAAGAGATGTGAAAGGTTAAAGATGAAAAGAAATGCTTAGAAACACGAGGTGGAGGCGCCGCCATCTTTAAAATCTCTTCCGTCAGAGGGAGGGGGTATCGAAGCAAGATGGCGGTGCTCATCCCTGTCACCTCGCGTTTTTGAACATTTCTAAAAATTATGTATCCACCTCAGATCACTTCCAGCTCGCTTCATTCAGTTCATAAAAAAAGAACAAATTTTTCAAGCTATCCTTCAGATTTTTTCATTCTTTTTTGGCTGAGAATTCGTGCTGCGAAGTCTCGCCACTCCTCGTAATTCCAGAAAAACTCAATGAAACATGAAGCTACTGGAGTTGATAGCTGGTCCTCTCTCAAAACATCAGATGGTACTCATCGAAATTCCGAAAAAACTCCCAGATTTTCATATTCATATTAAAAAAACAGGTTAGTCGAGTCGTTCACAAATGTCAGTTGCAAATCGAGCCAGATGAGCTCGACACCCTCTTCCCCGCGACTGGCGTAATCCCTGGGTTAAAAAAATGGATCATCCACAACTCAATCCTATCGAGACATCACGCCACGACGGGATTCCTCATGAAGAGCTCCGCCAGCATAAATTACGATATCGATAGACACTTGCGGCACTCTTCATTCGTCATCCACCCGTTCAGTCGATTGAAGATCCTCTGGAACATCTTCATGACCCTCTTCACCCTGATTTCATTAATCCTAGTGATTTTTCTACTCACCTTCTTCTTCCACCGCCAGCAGGACTGGATTTATCTATTTATATCGATCAATCTCATATTTTCGATCGATATTATTCTCAATTTTTTCACTGGATACTTCGACTCGACGACGGGAGCCGTCTTCTTGGAGAGGAAAATTATCATTGAGTGAGTTTAAGGCTTGCTCTATCCGTGTTGACTAGAATTTTCTACTTTTGAAGATATTTTCATTGTCAGAAACTATTTGAAGACGTTTTTTTTACTGGATTTTCTGTCTGGATTCCCCTTCGAGATGATTTACGTCGTCTGGAGGTTTTTCAACCCTGAGGGAGGGCTTGACTGGCCCTGGACTAGCCCAAACATTTTGAAGATCGTGAGGATGAGGAATTTGATGGAATCTACACGTCAAATGTGTCATGTGAGACGAAAAAAAAAAAATAAACGAGAAAAAAAATTTAGGAAATGAAAAAATTAGAAAAATAGCTCGGGGAATTTGTTCTTTTCCTAGAAACTAGATGAAACGAGCTGGAGCTGACCTGAAGAGGAGAAATAATTTTTGAAAATGTTCAAAAACACGAGGTGGTTGAGAGGTATGAGCGCCGTCATCTTAGATGCCCCCTGTCTCCGCCCGAAGGGTCTTCAAAGATGGCGGCGGCCCCACCTCGCATGTTTAAACATTAAAAAAAAATATTTATCCTCTTCAAATCAACCTCAACTCGCTGCATCCGGTTTCTAAAGAATGAACAAATTTTTTAAGCAATTTAGGAATTTTTTTTTACTCCCGAGGCCTCTTAAATTGAGATTCTCCCTCTAGATGTACAAAACGTCATTTCAAAAATCTAAAATCATCGAGATGCTGATGATTTCGATAATCTGCCTCCACTGGGCAACATGTCTGGAGTTGTACATACCCCTGGCAGCTGGGAGAGTCGCCTGGGAGAGCTCCACTTCCCGGTGAGCAATTAAAAAAGAAAGCGTGAAACCTCGAAAATAAATAATCCCCAATTTTTATCAACGATCATTAGATCATGGCTGTCCTCCGACTACATGAAGAAGAGAGACACGATTGTCAAGAGATACATCAGCTCATTAAATCGCGCGACAACCGCACTGATGAGCTCCAGTCATTACCTCCACGTCAATACGACCGAAGACATTATTCTTAATCTACTCCTCACTATTCTGGGGAGGATCGGATTCATCTATGTGCTAGGTACACTATTGCCGCAATTTTTAACGTTAAAAAGTAAAGGAAGTTGATATTGACAATTACCCAGCGCAATTGCTGCAGCTGATGACGACCTTCGACTCGACAAAAAAACGAAACGTCAGAGAGGTGCAGCAGTTTTACGAGTACATGAAGTATAAAGAACTTCCGTACTCCATTCAGCATAGAGTCTTCGAGTATTATGAGTACTATCAGAGGAATATTGAGAGAAATAAAATGATCATGTCCCAGGTTTCGCCGAATTTACGTGAGGTATCAGCACGAGTAATCAATTAATCAATGATTACTCAACATGAAGAGCATCAAATCATGATTATTTATACAAAAAGAAATACGCGTCGATGAATTCCGCAGGAACTATTGCTTCACGAGTATGAGGAGATGATCGCGAAAGTCAATCTCCTCAGGCAACTGCCCCAGCCCGTCCTCTCCGAGGTGCTGACCCTCATCAAGAGTGAAATCTACTTGCCGAACGACCCAATAGTAAAATCAGGAAGTCTCGGGGACTCTTTGTTCTACATACGCTGCGGGACAGTCGCAGTTATGAAGAATACGGGAGAAGAAATCCTCCGACTGTCCAAGGGCTCTCACTTCGGGGAGATATCCCTCATCGCGGAGCATGAGAGACGTCTCGCGGACGTCATAGCCCTCGAATTATGCGAAATATCTGTGTTGAAACGATCTGACTTTCTCTCGATTCTCAGCTCCCATGCGAATTTGCTGAATAGATTGCAGAGACTTGCATTAACTAGATTAGAGCGATAAGATACGAAATGAGAAGTCACAATTTTTTAATTGAATATATTCTCTCAAATGTTAGTCAATCGTGGTAATTCGAGATAAGTGAATTGACTAGTTCAACAGAATAAATCATCCTAAATCAGGGCTGATGATGCAATGGTTACTTGGCCGATACGCTACCGCGGATCGAGACCGCCCGCTCCCGTTTCTCTTACCGATGTGTTCAGAGAGATTTCCGTTCAATTCTACGTGGATTGAAAAACCAAACTTTCTGATTGGGTTGAAAATGAATCATATTGGTTGTGACATCGCATTAAAATTCCATGGGTTCGAATCCCACTTGTGAAACCAATTGGAAAGGCCGTGGGATTGATCAAAAAGAGTTTATTAAATTAAAACGGGACGAGAGGTAAAGCAACAGGAAGAAACAACCTGAAATAGTACAGTTCACGTCGAGTTCCGCTGGGGTTTTCGACGAGTGTGTTGGCACCCCGAGCCGAAGGCAAGGCGTGCCAATCGCACTCGTTGAAAATCCCTGTGGCGCTAGGCGCGAACGCTATTTTTCCGTAGTGACTTTCACTTTTTCCAGTTCGGGGAAGGATACCAATCCCCGGACTGGGAAAAGTGAAGGTCAGAGGAGGGATTCAAGGGGAAAGAAAAGAAAATGAACGTCAACATAACAATATATTATTATTATATTATATATATTATATATTATTACGTTTTGTTATTTATACGTCTTCCCCATCACTACCCCTTCAATCAACCCCAACAGAATGAGATCAACTATTCAGAATAAATACTCTAAGATCTATTCGGCATCACGACAGAATAACTTTCCAAAAAATAATATCACATAAAAATCATTGACATATTTTTCGCAAAGTTATTGACGTTGAAGCCTTTCATTGGTTCTTCGGATTTCTGTAAGACTGCTGATAGACCGATGAGAGTCTCCAGTGTTCCGGATAATCAGCATCCCTGGAGCCCTCAATAATAGTGAACGGTGGTGTCAAGGTGTCAATGCAGAAATTTCGTTTGGCGTACGGTGTCCTGGGTCTCGGCACCATGATCTTGTTGGGAAGCCCATTCCTCTTGATGTTCTTGGCCCCGTGATGAGGGGCCGAGTGAACACACCTAGCCCTCTTCAGTCTCTCCCCCCTGCAGTGACAAGGGGCGCAACTCCTCAGATGAACGGGCTGTCGCTTCCTGGGGTTCGGACAGCCGTAGGTCGCGGATTTCACGAGACGATTGTCCTCATCCTCGGTGATGTGGATGCCGTCGAAATTCTCGCACAAGTCGTTGCCATTATCGTTGGCCTCCTCGCAGGTCTGGCAGGTCTGGTCCTCCCTTCTGCTTCGACCTTTCACGTTTATGAATTTAGCCTCGAATCTCTCCACCGGGGATTTGAAGGACTTCTCGTCCCCCGGTTCGTGCTGGACTAGGGCGAAGACAGCTGGTGCGGGACCACCGTCGGAGCCGTCGATGTGAACAGGCCACGTGGGCTCGTAGTTCGGGTCGATTGGTGCCTCCCAGCAGATGGCTAAGTCCATGTTGGTGGTGGGAACCTTGCAGCCAAGGCTGGGGCCGTATTGCAGGGATGTACGCAGTTTGTGACCCCTCGTGCCTCGATAAATGAAAAATTTCTTATTTCATAAAGAGGAAATGCGTCAAGAATCAGCGTAAAGGCGATGGAAAAATCTGGAAGATGGCTTAAAAAATTTGGTCCTTTTATAGAAAGCGAATGAAGCGAGCTGAGGGTGATTCGAAGAGGATAAATATTTTTTTTTAATGTTTGAAAACACGAGGTGAGAGCGCTGCCATCTTTGAAGCCCCTTGCGTCAGGGGGAGGGGGCATCCAAGATGGCGGCGTCCACAACTGTTGATCACCTCGTATTTTCGAACCTTTATTAAAATTATTCATCTGTTTCAGATCAACTTTAACTCATTTCGTTCAATTCCTACAAAAAGAACGAATTCATCTATTAATTACCCTACCTCGACTCCCACCATCGATTTTCGTCAAATCAGGTGATGATTTGCTGAGTAAGGCTCCCCGATCAGGCCTGACATTCCTGAAAACCGAGTCGTCAACCTTATCAGGCAGTGGCTGATGCTCCAGATTCTCAGCATGAAATTTCCGGGCTATCGCGAATCTGTCGCAAACCGAATTCTGTCTAGACATGGTTCTCTTCTCCGGAGACTCTCCCGAGTTCTTTCGCGCGAGTCTCTCCCGCCTCTCGCCCTCGCCCGCCACGTACTGCTTTAGCGACGAGAGCTTCAAATTACCCTTTATGTACGTGGGTAGCCGGCAGGTGTGCTCCCTCCGGACTTGAGAGGACACCCAGGTGCCCGGGCAGTGAAGGCAGCACTTCTGCCGCGAGTTCATTATCGCTTCAACCACTCAAACTTTTTCTCACTTTTTTATTTTTCTTGGGTTCTTGGTGGAGGAGGAGCTCCACCTGGGCGTCGACTGATCGTCATGACCCATTTATCACAGACTGAGTAAAGTTGAGGAGAAAATCACTGGAGGAATGTCTGGTGGGGGGAGGGCTCCAGGGGTTGTTTGCTTGACAACGGGGTTCGATAGCTCAGGGTTATGCAATAAACGAGTCAAGGAATTCGGCATCTCCAGCTGATGTATTTTATTACGACCGGGATTCGGTCAATTGGAACTAATGAGACACGCCATGTCAACCCAAATGATAATTTTTTTCTACGAATTATCATGAGGCATTCCACGCTATTTCAATACCCCGAAAATTATTTTTTCTTGATTTTTGAATGTTTGTAGACGAGGTTCAAAAATGTATGTGAACGTAGGGAAAATTTTTTGTTTTTCACTCCCGTTTGACCCTTTTGACCCCTCCCCCTGTCGCTCCCATTTGGCCCTTACGACAGTTTCATTCTTCCGATCACTTCCTTCGTCTCTCCCGTTCGACCTTCACGGCTAATTGACCCTTTGATTTAGTTCTTGAAGCGCTAGAAAACATTCTAAAGGGTCAAATGTTCTCTCGGGTCAACAGGCCTTGAGGGTCAAACGGGAGAGACAGATGGAGGATCAAATTTTCATGAAGGTTAAATGAGAGAGACGAGTGGAGTGATCACTTCGCGCGTCTCTCCCTTTTGACCCTTTCGACGTATCCCCCTGTCGCTCCCATTTGACCTTTACGACAGGTTCATTCTCCCGACCACTTCGCTCGTCTCTCCCGTTTGACCTTCAAAGCTTTCTAGTTTCTGGACCATCAAAAAAACATTCCAAAGGGTCAAAAGGTCGTGAGGGTCAAACGGGAGAGACAGGTGAAGGGCTAAATTTTCCTAAGGGTTAACCGGGAGAGATGAGTGGACTGATCACTTCCGCCGTCTCTCCCATTTGACCCTTTCGACGCATCCCCCTGTCGCTCCCATTTGACCTTCAAGGCAATTTGATCCTTTTGATCACTTCGCTCGTCTCTCCCGCTTGACCCTTGAACGCCAAAATTTCCTAAAAATAAATAATTACCATAAATCAGGTGACTCCCGCAGACATCAAAATTAATGAATGACTTAATCAATCGTCGTTCTACTTTTCTTCTTCATGATCTATATCACGAATACAATATCCCATTTTTTACATTGAACCCATCAATTTTTATCGCGTGCATTGCAAAAATTGACTCAACAGACTACCTCCAAAAATAACAATTTCGCATTTATGGAGAACGATCTAGATAGCCGTGGGAGCACTCTGGAGCATGAATGCGTCATTGATGACAGTCTCCATCCGACTCCCCTACTCCTTCCCCCAGTGACCTGAACTGGTGGCCTTGATGCCAGCATAGAAAGACAGTGAATACTGGCACGCACAGCAATAAACACCAATTCCCTACTCCTTGCCCCGTTTTTTCTCAACAAATCAAAAACAATAATTCCGTAAACAAAAAACAATTCAATCAGCCCCTCCCCCACTTCATCCCCAAATACTCATTAATCGAATAAATAAAAAATCGCCGAAAAATCCGAATTGAATTGATGATTTTTGAAATTAAAGTGACGTTTCAATCGCGGGAATTCGCGAGCATGATTCAAGTGTTTCAAATAATTTCTGAAGCATGAAAAATCATCGGAAGCTTTCGCGAAGTCATCAGTTCCGCCGACGAAGGGCTTGATCCCCCGAGAGACGAAGTAAATATACGAATAAAATAGCGTGAAGTTGACGCAAAATAATTGGAATAAAGTGTGGTTCATCAGGTTATTAATGAGCCGAGAGGGGGCTGGTGATGCCTACGATGATGCCTCGGTGGTGGCATACGTCGACGACGTCGAGTTGACGGAGCGCCCGGTGACGAATTCCCTGGGGATGAGGTCACCGAACTCAGGTAATGCCCGATCTTTGGCTCTTTTGGAGACAGATAATGCGTTCAACCCACCGCCCACGTACGGTCCAGAGGTGGACGACCTGGAGCCGGCGGGGAAGAGGGGTCTGGGTGATGACGACAGGGGGATTGATGACGGACTCTTGCCCGGGAGGCCGTTCACCCCGAGACCCTCCAACGGCGTCCCCCCTCAGAGCCCGTTCGACGTCAATGTCTATCAGCAGAAGAAGACACTGGCCCAGGGCATGATGGACCTGGCCCTCATATCAGCTAACGCCAATCAACTGAGATACGTCCTCGGGTCGAAGAGTCATCCGTTTTATCTGGCCTCTCTCGTCATGATTTGCATGAGTCTCGCGCTGCAGATCGCGGTGGGGATCGGACTCATTTGGAATAGCAGATATGACGTCAAGGAGGATGATCAGGTCATCAGGGCGAATAGGGCCAACAACTGGACCGTCATCGGGGTTTTTCTCGTTACTATTCTCAATGTTTTTATATCGTCGTTCGGGGTCATTGATCCGCCCGATGTTATCACCATTCCCCTGAAGAACGCCAGTGATGGTGACGGGGGAATCGAACCGCTCAATCGAATAGGGTATTTAAACGGATCGATTTCATGAGTCGAAATGTATTTTTTATTATGGTGATTATTGTATTTATGCAGTTGACGGTGAATAAATAATTTTTTTATGAGAGAATTGAGAGCTCGGGGATTCCCCTGTTTATTATATAGAACTTATAATGGTACTGCCTTATAATGATACTTTATTTATTATTATTTATTTCGTTGTGATCATTTCAGTAGCGAAGCGGTAAATCGGGTTAAGTCGTTTTTTACTATTGGCTAGTTTTTGACGAATATCTCGGAATCTAAAAGAGATAGAAAGATTTTTGTCATGACCTTTTTTGTAGAGCCAATAGAGCGTTATAAAAAAAGTCATGAGAAAAATTTTGCTATCTCTCTTAGATTCCGAGATATTCAGCAAAAACTGGCTAATAGTCAAAATCGACTTAACTCGGTTTACCGCTTCACTACTGATTTCGGTCATGGTTAGAAATATTGAAATGAAGTGGAAGTATTTGTGGGCAAGGGTTCGAATGCCACTTCTAATACCAATGTAAAAATATGAGGCTCTTGCTAAAAAGAGAGTTTATTAAATAAATTGGGGGGAAAAGAATAATAAAAAGAAAGAAAAGGAACAAATGTTTTTCGGTAATTAATTTTTTTTATTCGTAATAATACTTGTAGTAATAGTAACGATTACACATAGCAACATGATTTATGGTCATAGTTGAAATAGAATGAATTATCGTTTCGAGATATAAAAAAAAACAATTGTTGAAACAGCCGTCTGATAAAGCTTATCTCCATGAACTCCATTTTAACCGTTGAACAGTGAATTATTAATATTTACGAATGTCGAATGTTGTAGTTAAGATTAGACAAATCTATCACTCGCTAGTTATCATGATCAATTAACGTACAATAGTTTGTTGATGATAATGAGTTTGAAGAAAGAGTGTGAGTCCTCTCGTCAGTTCATTCGTTCTTTCATTCATTCGATTGTAAAAAAAACATTGCGATTAGTATTTTGATAAAAAATGTTTAAATGTCGGGGGTGTAAGCGGCTAGGGCGAGACTATTTCTGAGGATTGTGTCGGCACCGATTTGCTGGATTGACGAGTTCTTGCGGATCGTGCGGTTGTGGGGGTGGAGGTTCAGGGGGGGCAGGTTTGGGTGCTCTATCCTCGTTGGAGAACTCACTCGGGGCCGAAATGTCTCTCGCTGACAGCCGTAGAGCTCTGGAAATTCAATTATCGTCGTTATCATTGATGAAAATCATTCATTCGTGACAATAATTTTTTTTAACTGGAATTATCTTGATGATGAGTGGTTTGAGGAAAAAATGTCAAAAGAAATTTTTTGTAGATCATAAAATTCTCTATTAAAAAGATTTTATGGTATTTTGTTCTAAAATTGACTGTTCACGAGATAAATGAAGAGAACTGAAAAAAGTGGAGAATTTTTTTTTACGTTTTCAATTTTTGGTTTTATTAATTATTCACCTGACTCATTAGGCTCAAGTACATCATTCAATTGAAAGTATTCCGCCTTGATAGACAGTGGCTCTTCGTAATCGACGAATGCTGTGTTATCGAAAGCAATTTCCTCCTTCGGTGTCGATCTCACGGGCGACGGAACTGGCGGTTCAATGTAAATCTGTCATCAATCAAACATTAATTATGGGTATTGATAATTCGTAAAGGTAAAATCCGCGTAATGCAGAAATATTGTTGACTCTTTAGTGAATGACGAGTACATTTTCGACGGGAGCCGTTGGATACGTGCGTTTAGGCGTCATCCCATTGCCCACAGTCTCGTACGTGTGATCCTCGAGGTAATGTCGTGTCGTTCCTCGAGGCGTTAATGTCGCCCACATTATCCGGCTGTCCTGCATGCCGTCCGCCGTGCACGGATACAATACCGTCTCATTCTGAATGCGCGCGCTCTTCGGCTGGGTTATCGCTGCGGCCGGCATCGAAATTGTACCCCCTTTTTGACTAGTATTGCTGAAATTTTTATTGCGCAACTTGATGCATGAAATTAAATTATTTAATGATTTTTTTGAGATGCGAAATGATGAAATTTAGAAAATTAAATTTTTAACGCTCTGTCAATTTGTGAGTTATCTCGTCAGTGAGTGGTTCTAGAGAAAAATGTCGTAAAAACTTTTAGTAGGAAATTTCATAAGCTATAAAAAAGGCTTTATGATTTTCTGTCCTAAAATCACTCGTTTTTGAGGTAATTAAGCATTTCTAGAATGGAGTCGTTTAAGTTAAAGGATTAATTCAATTTTTTACGTCTTGTAAATATCGAATTATCTCCAGAATCAGTAGTTTTATGGAAAAACCTCATAGGACCTTTTTTATAGAAAATTTAATTATCCGTAAAAAAGTTTTTACGACTTTTTTCTCTAAACCCACGCGTTTCCCAGATAAACCCCATCTAGAAAATAAAAACAAGCTCAACTCATCAAAAATCGCCTGTTTCCGCAATTTACTCACAATTTGCATCGTAACAGGACAATCACCAACAAAACACTGACGACAATGATCCCGACGCATGAGAGGATGAGGATCAGCAGCCACGTGTCATCGAACAGATTCCCTGCAACTCAATTGCCATAAACAAATCCATTGTCCGGAAATTGAAAATTTTCCAACGTAAAAAATCCTGAAGATTACCATTGCTATTACCTTGATGCGGCATCTCAACATACTGTACGCCATCAACTTTCCAATCGCAATGATGATTGCAAAGTGTCCCATTGACTCCCCCCGCGATGGGCATCCCCGTCTGTGAATGGACCTCCGATCCGTATTGTAAAAACGAGGGGATGGGCGGAGGTGGAATGGATAGAATCAAATTGGGAGGAGGACCCATTGCGCAAATAGCGCAATTCGAGTCGTTCATCACCATTATTCCCGGCAAATCTGTTGTCGTCATCTGATGGAATTCGTCTCAATAATTCAATAGATAAATAGGACTTCAGAACTTTGTTATTACGAAAGAAAAAAATTTATAGAAAAAACCGAGTGAATTTGCTAGAAAAGTCTGTTGGATTTCTATTGATTTTTAATCAATGGAACTGTTCGATGGAAAATATTCTATAGAAAAAAGTCTACAGGAAATTCTATAGACAAGCTTATGGAGAGTTCTATAGAAAAATTGGAGCCGATTCTATAGAAAATCTATAGAAAAATCACAGGAAATGTCTATAGAAAAATATATAGAGCATTCTATAGAAACATCTATAGATTTCTATAGGAAAAAATCTAGAGAATTCTATAGAAAAGTCTATAGAGCGCTCTATAGAAAAACTGAAGACGATTGTATATAAAATCTATCGAAAATTCATAGTAAATGTCTATAGAAAAATATATAGAGCATTCTATAGAAATATCTATAGATTTCTATAGAATTTTTTTTTAGAGAATTCTATAGAAAAGTCTATAGAGAGTTCTATAGAAAAAAAAATATAGAGTATTCTATAGAAACAAAATCTATAGAATTTTCAAGAAAAAATCCTATAGAACTGAAATTCCATTGAATTTTCTATTAATTTTTAGCCGATTTCATTGAAAAATTCTGCAACTCATCGATACGTTTTTTTTCAAGACAAATGTTCAATGAAAAATATTCTATAGAAAAAAATATACAGAATTCTATAGGCACTCTCGTGTCATACTTTCTCAATTTTTTGTTTGAAATAATTTCTATTGAACATTTTCAACAAAAACTAATAAAATTTTCAATAGAAGTGCAATAGACATCCAATAGAATTTTCCATTCCTTTTCTATGAAATTCTTTCGTGCGTGATGACAATCAAAGCGACAGTCTGAGCGCATACGCGAGTAGATACAGACAAAGAAGTGGTCTATAACACGAAAACACCATGCACTGTCCAAAATTGATCAAACATCTATTTGTCATTTTTCAAATTAAAAAAAAAAACGGAAATTAATTGCGAACCGATTCTTAACTAAGAAATCTCTGAAATTCCGATCCGAACGCTTTCGCAATTTTTTAAATCCACGTTTTGAAGTTGAAAAATTGCTCATTGAAGCAGTCACAACAATCAATTCTGAAATAAAAAAAAAAATTTGAAAAACAACACTTTATAACAAGGAAACTGCACCTTCGGAACACTTCTGCGAACTAATCGATGGTTCAATGGCATTAGAGAGCGACTCTCTGTCTCTAAATTCGCGAGATAATTTCAAATACTAAAAGAACTGCTGGTAATTATCATCGCTACATGACTACGTCGACAAGCGTAACAATATAATTATCCACTTCACCTTATGGTAAAAAAATGACAGATTCCCCGGTGGAGAGCACGTCTGTCAGCCACATTGAGCAGAATCCTGTGGGAATTATGGGGAGAAGCGCAAGCGCAACAGTATTGAACGTCTAGGGCATCCGGAGGCGAATCGAGGCACTTGTGGAAGGCACGATTTGGGAGATTATCTGCTGGATTGTTTTAATCGAAATTTAATGGTGCGTGATTTGTTGCGATCGATAAACCCCTCATTTCGGAATTTTACGAGTTTCGTGGATGATGAATGAGTCTTATTTTTACTGCTTTCCCTCGATTCGCAATTTGAGTGATTTAATTGATTTTTTCCCCTAAAAAAAATGGGAAAATTTATTTAATTCTGTTTTTTTTTCGTCAGAGAGAATAAAAATGTTCATTTCTTTTTATTCCGAATCCATATTTTATTGGAATCAATATCTTTGGATTGATAATCATTAATTTTTGAGAGGAATACTTTCCCGCAACTTCTCATTCCCCAAATAAAATTGACAGACTTGAATTTTCTCACAATAAAAAAAAACATTTTTTTATTTTCACCGTAAAAAAATTCATCACAATTAATACTTCCAGATTGATGTTCACCCGTCGTCAATTATTCTCCTCGGTTAGCTAATAAATTTATGTAACTCTATTTTTTTGCTCTCAAAAAAATTGGGAAATGGATTTAGTTTCAACTTCTTCATCAGCTCGAATCGAAATTTGTATTTATTTTCACTTCAAATGCATATTCTTGAATTTTTGCTTGACATTCCTCGCTATTAAAGAAGCAACAAAGAATATATTTCATCGTAATCAAGTGGGACGGTCAGCATTCTTCTCCGTCACCCCTTCGCGGAGACATTTTGCAAGAATTCGCATTGCCTGAAAAAAAAGCTCGATGAGATGTAACTCGAAAGGTGTTGGGGCGGGCGAATGAAGGGTTTACCTTGTCGACCTCGTTCTCCGTGGAGAAGCTGTAGCACAAACGCAGATGGTGGTCGTCCTGGGACTCGTTGTAATCGAAGGCACTTCCGGGGATGATGAACACCCCATTGGGAATTAATTTTCCCATGATTAAATCCAAAGCATTGTCCTTTGTCTTGAGTTTGATCCAGACGAACATTCCGGCCTTGGGGACTGACCATTCTGCCAGGCCTGAAAAAGGAATTGATTAAATTGTGATTAATTGATTGATCGATTAATCACAATTTGATTGATTGATTGTTGATTAATAGTGATTGTTGTCATTTAATTGCCTTACGTTGAAAGCCAATAATTCCACTTTGATTTAGGGGAGGTTGGGGTAAAACGGACACTTGATTTTTTTTTAAATATTAATGTATTTGTATAATTTATTTAAATATTAATGAAGGGTTGAAATGTTGATGAAATTTAATATTTTTTTTTCAATAAAAAAAACAGTTCTGTCCCTTTGGGACGAGTACTGAACGTCATCATTGTTTCTCGAAACAATGAATCGATAAGGGATTTGCAGGCTCGATCACTGACCTTCCAAATATTTCTCCATAGACTTGATCATCATGTCACGCTGTGACCTGTAGAAATTCTGAACTTTTTTTATGTGGTTGTCGAATTCTTTTGGGGACCAGCTCTCCAGAAGCTTAAACATCAACATCTGCAATACGAAGAGAATGGTGAATCACCATTGATCGTAGAATCGATGATTTACTTCTCTCATGGAAACAGATGAACAATTTTCAATAGAATATATTATATAAACACCAAACAGGCGGCCATTCCATGGGATTTCTATTGAACTTTCTGTTTGTTTTTGGCCGATTCTATTGAAATATTCAAAAAGTCAACAGAAGTCCTCTGACTATATTATTATTATTATTAATATTAATTTTATGTTAAATCATATTATTATATTTTTATGTCAAATCCCGATTTGAAAATTAATTAGTAATTAATTATTAATAATAATAATTATTATTATTTGTATTATTATTAATATTAATTTTATGTTAAATCATATTATTATATTTTTATGTCAAATCGCGATTTGAAAATTAATTAGTAATTAATTATTAATAATAAGTAGTAATAATTATAATTATAATTAATTCATAATAATAATTATTATTATTGTATCGAGTTACGGAAATATACACACGCCTTATTGAACCCCTTTAATCTCACCTGTGACAACGAAGAAGCATGAAGAACAGTATTCTGCAGGCTCACAATAACTTTATCAATAATTTCCTGAGGTGCTGTGACAATCCCCAGTCGCAATCCAGAACTAATGATCTTGCTGAATGAATCCAATCGAATGACCCGTCCGTCAGTGTCCATAGACAGAAATGATGTCGGCTGGTGATCAAGAAAATGAATGAAATAGTACGCGTCGTCCTCGATGATGAGGAAATCGTACTTCTGGGCGAGTTTGTAAATTTCCTTCTTCCGATCTGTCGGGAGAACGGAACCGGTCGGGTTTGCGCCGATGGAATTCACGCAGAGTGCCTGATTATTTTCGTTAGTGAGATGGTCAATTGGTTGATTAAGTATTGTTGGATATAATGTTGAACATACTTTCGGTAATTTGAGATTATTGATGTGTCGCCGACTGCAAATTCTCTCGATCTCTTCGGGAATTATTCCGTCGGCGTCTTGGGGGATGCCAATGTATTCTGGCCGCATCGAATTTACCTGATCGCGTCATGCAATTTAAATCATTTAAACTGAACCAGTGAAGATGAAGCGAGTAATGGAGGACGAAATGTCAAATTAAAAATGTGAGATCGAATAAAAATTGAAATTAATTTTTTAATGGAATGGTATTTTTTTGACACTGACTGCAGCTATGGTCCCGGTATACGCAGGTGCCTGCACCATAATCGGATCATTCTCGTCGATCATAATATCGAGAATTTTGTAAAATCCATCCTGCGAGCCGGGGACAACGGCAATGTCCCAGTTTTTGAACGGGGGACTGTGCCACCGGGTTTGAAAGTCTTTCAATTTGTTGATCAGGGGAAAATATCTGGAACGTAATTGAACAAATATCGAAAAAATTCATGAGAAAACCCGACGAAGTGAACAGAAAATTTTATTGAAAAATCTGTGAGTTTTTAGCCGATTCTTTTCAAGAATTCCGAGGCTTTATCGCACGTTTTTTAACGGAATATGTCCGATAGAATACTCTCCATTAAACATGTTTATTGAAAAAAAAAATATAGAATCGCCCAAAATGACGAAATATTTATAATAACGACCACCGATTGTTATTGTTGCTGCGAATGACCCAATTATGGAATAAAAAGTAATTTTTCAGATTTTGTACCCTTGAGACGGCCCATACTGCAGTCCTTCCCCCATTTCTTTCGGCGATAGCGTTATCGTTTTATCTCCACACTTGACCGATAAATTTTCAAATGGAAATAGTGTTGAATTCGGCATACCAGACGCCAGATTAATCGACCCAGGATTTTGCAAAAACATCTTTGCTAGTGGCAGAAGTTTATTAAATTATCAGTAATTAAATTTGTTAATTTATATCATTCCCGGAATTGTTAATAAGTGAACTGATGACTTACTCAATCGCCTGATGAGATTGTCCCTTTGGAAATGAGTTCTCTTCGCAAAAAATTTCGTGTAATCCATTTTAATTTGCAATGGAGTACGCGAAATCGGTTGAACCGGCTTCTTCCGAATTCAACGATAAAGTTTCGTATTGCAACTTCGGGTCGTGTGGGTTATATACCGCTGATAATGATGACGCGTTAATTTGCGCGAGTTGCAAGACTATTGGGCGGGGAGAGGGAGGCATTTTGCTATTTAATTTTTTACCCCTAATTACGTTTCATTCGATTCGTTAGCGCGAATCTGGAGAAGGAACATCAGATTGAAATTAGACAGTGATTTCAACAACTCCAGATATTTAATCCTGAGGAGCTCAAGAAGGAATTAATATGCGTGAGAACATTTCTATTCAATTTCTTTAAGAAGACTTTGATTTCATAAGGTGCGAGGTGATGTCAATGATTTTTAGCACGTATACGAAGTGAAGGCTAAAAATCTACGGTTGTGTACGGGGACACCCGTAGATCTATGTGATCATCCATCATATAATATGAGATATCTCAAAGAGGTTCAAATTCATTAATAGCAGCCCAGGAAAAAAAGAAAAATCCTTCATATTATTGGGGCGTTGTGAGGTTCATACCATGACGTTTGTGCCAGGGTGTTCTGTTCCTTTTATTACCCTTCTGTCACACTCACTAGAGGGAAAAGGTGGGAAAATAAAACGCACATTCCATCATGAAATCATTCTCCAATGGATTTCACATGGTGTCAGTCAACAATTGAATCGATTTATTCATTCGTCTCTTACAAAAACTGGTAAACAAGTTATTCATGATATTTGGCGATGAATTTTCAAAAATGTGAATAATAAAATAGTTGAATTATCTAAAAAGTATAAAAAATTGTTCCTAGAATTATCGATAGTTCTCTTTTCCACGAAAACGTATGTACAACTTCATTTGATTATTTTCATTTGAGGAGGGGATCCTTCTGTGTAGTCTCATGGCATCTGGAGTGTTTTCACCAGTTCAACTTTGTCGAGCTTGAGCCTCAGCTCTTTAATCTCCATTCTCAAATTATCGATGACAACGTCTTTCTCTTTTATCCTATTTGTCAATTCAGCTATGATAGAGTCCTTATCAGCGTTCAAATTGTGTAATAATTCAGTGGTTGAGGGGCGTCGGGTGGGATCGACGAGCAGAAGTCGTTTTATGGTATCAGACTGAGGAGAAAACAATTATTCGATTCTTAAGAGTGCACATGACACTGCAATAAATGGTTTGATGGGTTCAGGCTTAAAAAACTCCAGCAAAATAGTGCAAAAAAACCAGAAAAATAGAGTATTAATGACGCTTTAATGGTTTAATTTAAATCTGAATTAACCAAAAATTCACTTTTTCAAAGTTAATTTAACCAGGTTTTTTTGACGAAGTTTTCTAGACGTAATCCTGCATTAACGAAGACTTTTACCCATTTAGGATTTTTTTCTATGAATTCTCCTGGCATTTTTCCCGATTTCAGTTGAGTAATCAGAGAATTTCTCTCCATTCCGGTCTTCATAGGGAAGAATATCTCGAAAAGCACTATTCCAAGGCTATAGAGATCACTCTGTAACCACAAATAATTGACGTGAATAATGAATCAGAAATAATTAGTTAAAAAAATGATTAAAGTGATGAATAAAAGTTGGTTGATTTTTTTTACTTTAGGGTTGCACTGTCCATTGAGTTGTTCAGGTGCGGCATACAGTTCCGTTCCAAAAACGGGATGATGACTCTCGCTTTTACGAGGGCAGGCCAATCCAAAGTCTCCAACTTGAATTTCAACTCGCTGGCCAATGGCACCGATGAAAATATTGCTGGGCTACAATTAACATTATTTTTAGCCAGGGAATTTCGTAGATTTTATCGGAAGTAGAATTCCACTGCTGATAAGTCGATGAAATAATACTTCAGATAACTACCTTGATATCGTGATGTACAATGTCTCGAGAATGCATGTAATGTAGCCCATCGAGTATTTGTTTCAGGATTGTTGTAGCTATTGGCTCTGGTGTGGCCTCCAGTCTCTCGTCCAACCAGGCCCGCAACGTTTTCTCACAGAGAGCCATTTGAATATAAATTGTAGCATATCTCTGCATCATGAGAAATTAACTTCCTCAATTTATCATTGATTATTAAAATTTTCAACACAAGATAAAATAAACAAAAATATTGGAGCGTGATAATTCAAATTGCAGATGAGTTTTTGAGACTGGAAGAAATTGAAAAATAAAATGGATGAAAGAATAAAAAATTCTGTTGAATTTCTATTGAATATTCTACTAATTTTTGGCCTATTCTATAGACAAACTGCAATGAAAAATGGAATTCCATTTTTCTCATCAATTCATTCCATTGGGATATTTTCATAGATTTTTTAATTTGAATTTTTTGACGATAAACTCAAAAAATGATGTGCAAAAGACTCGGAAAATTCATATCGACGAATAATAAAATATTTTCTACTGGAGATTTCCTCCAAAAAAATCGCTAATAAACTCTCCCACAAAATAATCCGATTTCCAACCAAATTCCATAAAAAAAAATTGAATTCCATATTTACTCATGAAGCACTCACAACTCTCGGAGAATAATACGGGCAAATTCTCCCACGCCCTTCGTCCGTGTGTAAGGGCGACTGAATCTCCTCGATATCACTGCTGTCAGAGCTGACACTGCGGTCATCCACATTCTCCCCGTCGTCATTTCTAAAAGACACAACATCAGAATTTTGCCTCTCCACCGACACCCCATCCACAATCCCGTCGATCCTCCTGCCTATAATATCGATCGTGGAATTGAATTCTTGAAATCGTTGACTAGCAACATCACAATGGCACGTCGAGCCATAGCTGTCCCACTCACGATTAATTTGATGATTAACTGAATTTTTTATATACATACCAACACGAGAGGCCGAATCACTTCTTACGCGATCGGAGGAGAAACTTGTCTTAAACTGATTAGCACTTTGTGTCTCACAGGAGTTCGTGTCTGAGGACAGACGTTTTAAGGATGATCTTTTCGTTCTCGTTCTGGACTTTGCTGGGGCCAGGGGGCGGAGGGAGTGGGGCAGATTGTGCTCGATCCAGGCGCATTTGTAGGCGACGATGTTCGTGTGGTTGAGCTTGGCGAGGGTCTTCACTTCCTCCAGCTGCTGGAGAATGTTCTTCACTCGGCCTGACTTGACCACAATCTTCTTTATGGCGTACTCGTGACCGTCGAGACGGTGAACAGCTCGGTAGACGTTGCCGAACCCTCCGGAGGCGATGAACTCACGCTCGTCGAACTCCACTGCGTAGCGAGACCAGTCGGGAGATAAACTAGGAGAATTTGTCATTTTTAGTTTCAGAATGAGGAAGTTTTTTGACTCCTACAGATTTTTTGGAGGCTTATGGCATCGATAACGACAATTCTCCATTTTTTAGTCTTCAATTCTCAATTTTAGTGGGTTATTATATTTATTATATCGAGAGACAGAGGTAGAAATCGAATTTATGGGCATTCTTTCATTATTCGAAAAACTATATCGATTTTAAAACTTTCTGAAGACATTGAAAAACAACATTTTTTATATTATTTTTTATATGTTTATATTATAATTACAGAAACAAACTTTCTGTACTTTCTAGTCGATCATTCTTTTTAAAAAATTTGTGGTCTCCAATTCGTGATTTTTGGTATTCAATTTTATTTATAAACACCGTATGTTTAAAAAATACTTGATATTAAGAAATAATTGGATATTTGAATTGAATTAGATAATTATCTCTCGGATATCTTGAAAAAAATGCTTGGATGTTGAAAAAAATACTAGGATTATTCTTAAATCGTTTTAGCACTCCGCCACTGAATAGTTTCAGATCCTGCAGCTGCCCTGGCCACTGTCATAAGGTTGTACCAGGCCTGTTGGTGCTGTCCCCGCATGAGACATTGTCATTTTTATTTTCAGAATGAGGAAGTTTTTTGACTCTTACGGATTTTTTGGAGGCTTATGGCATCGATAACGACAATTCTCCATTTTTTAGTCTTCAATTCTCAATTTTAGTGGTTTATTATATTTATTATATCGAGAGACAGAGATAGAAATCGAATTTATGGGCATTCTTTCATTATTCGAAAAACTATGTCGATTTTAAAACTTTCTGGAGACATTGAAAAACAAAATTTTTTATATTATTTTTTTTATGTTTATATTATAATTACAGAAACAAACTTTCTGTATTTTCTAGTCGATCATTCTTTTAAAAAAAATTGTGGTCTCCAATTCATGATTTTTGCTATTCAATTTTATTTATAAACACCGTATGTTTAAAAAATACTTGATATTAAGAAATAATTGGATATTTGAATTGAATTAGATAATTATCTCTCGGATATCTTGAAAAAAATGCTTGGATGTTGAAAAAAATACTAGGATTATTCTTAAATCGTTTTAGCACTCCGCCACTGAATAGTTTCTACTCACTTTGGAAATTCTATAATACTCTCAGATCCTGCAGCTGCCCTGGCCACTGTCATAAGGTTGTACCAGGCCTGTTGGTACTGTCCCCGCATGCTCTCGAACTCCATCATGTTGTAGGAGCTGTCGATCAGCCTCATCTCGTGCAATTTATCACACAGAACTGTAATCAATGCTCGTATTATGTCAATTTAATTCCAGGAGCTGCAGCAGATGAAAATTTAGACTCACTGAAGTATAATTTATTCCTGCGCGTTGGATCCGTCTCGAACATGGCACAGATGCTCTTGAGGAGAGACTCGATGAGGAGACTCGTCGATGGAGCAACTCTTCCAACAATTTGCCCACCACTTGCCCCATCGTGGGCCTCGTCCAGACGTCGAGTCGTCCTCGAATTATTTCCTTCAATAAAAAATAAGATTCATCATCCCTTGGAGGGACATCAATAAATTATAAATAATGGTGATTAATCAATTAACAAGAATGATGAGGTTAACAGAAAAATTATACTAAATTAACAAATTTAATTTAATTACGTCGATAAATAAATGTTGATAAAGACAAAATCATATGTAAAAATCATATGCCAATGACAATTGACATATTGAGAATGACAAATGAATGAACAGAAAAATCGTTGAATGCATTATAATTTTTTCTCTAGAGCAATTATTAATGTTTATCAATTTATCTGGACAATTAAATGTAGATATGAACTACATCAGGTGAAAAATTATGTAAATAAACTAATAAACAATAATAATAAATCAATGAAATAGAATGGCAAGTGAATTAACAGAAAAATTATGAAATGAATCATCAAATTATTTTCTTGCAAAATAGAAAATAATAATTATTTGCTAATTTGATGATTATTTTTTTTGCAATTCAATTCACAAGAGCAATTGTTGTTGTTAAATAGTTTATATTAATAATTAAAGGTGAATACAAACAACCTGGAGTGAAAAAATCAATGAATAAATCCACAAAATTAGTGAACGAAAAGTCAATTTATTCACCTGTCAAATTACATAAACAAAAATATTCACTCACCATTATCAAATGTTGATATAGTCTCCAAGCTCTGCCAGGGGTTAAACTTATTCCCATTGTCATTACTCATTGTTGAATACTGCACCTAATCCCTAAACTAAAAATACCAAAGCTCTCCTAAAGTTCGAATCAAAGGTTCTATCGCCTATTGACATGACATGAAAACAACTTCATTGTTCTTGATCTCGTTCTGGGGAAATGGTCTTGGGCTGGAGGTTATGACAGCCCCATCACCATGATCGGCCCCAAAATCATCACTTCTGATGTTCAGTGAGGGCTTTACAACCTGCAGAGTTCGATTCCATATCAATTTATCATCACAGAACTGTATTCGATTAAATAAATCATCGAATTTATCGATTTTGAGCTCTCGCCGGGTGATTATCGGAGCAAGAGTGACTCAGGGATGAACGATTATCGAAGAATCGATATATTTTTTTAAAATCGATGTGAATCGATTTTTCTGACGAAACATCGATTATTTAAAAAATCGATGTTTTTTTTCTCATTGCACAGGAAAAAAAAACATTAAAAAATGATTTTAAATCGATTATTGAAAAAAATCGATGTGTTTTTCATTACCCAAGAAAAAAACAAATTGAAAATAAATTATTTAAAAAAATTGAAAAATGTTTGAATTCAGTCAACATTATTATTCGATAAAAAAATGAAAAATTTTATTCCCTTGGTCAAAAAGATCGATATTTGGAGAAAAAATCGAAAATCGATTAGTCGGCCGTTGATAAAATCGAATGAAAAACATCGCTGTTTGGTTTTTCGATTAATCGACATCGCTCATCCCTAGTGGCGCCACGACTGGTGAATTTAGGTTATGTTCTTCATGTTCATCAACATGCAGACGAATTTCTCGTAGAGAAAAATTATTTCAAGTCGAAACATTAGAAATTTATGATTGTTGTGGGGGGATAATTCAGTTAATCAGTTCAGAATGGCTGGGATAAGAAAAGGGGGCAGGGACTGGGGGTTGACAATGCTGAGATCATTGCCCAGGGTTTGTTTGGGAAATTTGAGGGCCAATCCTGGCACCATAATGAAGGTATGTTATTAAATCATCAGTTAAAGTTAATAAATTAAATAGAATTGATGAGGGTCTTTGATCTGTTGATTTTTTCGATAGAACAAAAGGGGTAGGGCTGCTCATGGGGGTGACAAGCATGGGGCTGGCAACAAGGGCTCGGGACAGAGGCAGAACTACATGAGGACTGGGTACGAAACTGGAAATATACCATTTTACCTCAGGTTTCAGTGGGAGCCGTATTACAAAGGACATCAGTGAGTATTTTTATTAGTCCAGAATTTTTATTTTGTTTTTCTCATGTTGAGAATCTTCAATATCTGCTAAATAAATGATACGATTTGAATGAGTTTGCCCTCATTTTGAAGTCTGAAAAGATATCTTCAGAATGAAAGAAAAATCGAAAAATTTCACTCTGCCAATCCCGAGTTATTGATGATCAAATATGAAACCTAAAAAAGAAACTTCAAATTTTTACATTTTGAGATGCAGTTGCAATCTTCGATATCTTGCGAACAAACGATGCGATTTTGATGAGTTCGGGCTCATTTTGAAGTCTGAAAAAATATCTTCAAAGTAAAAAAAAATCGAAAAATTTCACTCTGCTAATCCCGAGTAATTGATGATTAAACCTGAAATTAAAAAAAATCAACATTTTTGGATTAAAAAATTAATTGCACTTGCTAAATAGTTTTTAATATTTTGTTTCAATTCTTTCAGTGTCAGGAGACAATACCCCCCACTGAGTCTCCAACAACTGCAACTGATGATTGACACCAACAGAATAGACACCTCGAAGCCGATAGATCTCGTGGCTCTATTCAATTCTGGTCTTTTTCATCTCGATTTCATGCAAACGCATGCTGGGGTCCATCTCACTGACGAAGTACGTACAATTGTATTCAAAAGACTCCTCAGGACTCAAGGATTTTTTTTTGTTTTAGGGAATTAACAGTTTCCAGGCAAAAGTGAATATTGAAGTCCAATGGGCGACAGAGCCAGTGATCGCTGCTATTGAGAAGAATGGAGGGGTCATAACAACTGCATTTTACGATCGAGAGAGTTTATATTGTCTGGCTAATGCTGAAAAATTCTTCAAGAAAGGTAAACGATTATTAAAACCCCAATTAAGTAATTTTTGGTGTGAAATTAATCAAATGAGACTTCGTTTGCAAGAAAATAATTGAATTAATCAATTGAACTCAATTATTATCACTTTAACTTGTCTATTAATTAAATTGAAGAATTTGAAACAAAATTTAGCACATAAATTAAAAAAATGAATTAAATTGAACAAAAAAATAAACGAAAAAGAGAAATGAATGTAATAATTAAATTAATTAATCACATTGAATTGTTGTTCATTAAAATTGACTCCACGAATAAAAAAAAACAAACCTAACAAAAGGAAATGATGAATTGAATCATTCACAAAATTAATGAATAAATTAAGCACTAGAATAGAATTTTTCTCAATTGAATTGATGAATGCACGACTGAAATTTCCAGGGGAACCAATCGGCAGGAGGATGCTGCCACCCTCTGACTGTCTGGAATATTACTCCAGTGCAGCAACTCGCGGATACCTAGCGGACCCAGACAAAGTAGCATATGAGCGTCTGGTCCTCGCCCAGAAGTACGGATACACCCTCCCAAAGTACGAAGAGGATCCTGACTACGAGATGCTGTCAGAGCGAAAGGACCCGAGACAAATATTCTACGGACTGGAGCCAGGCTGGCTGGTGAGTTTGAAGGACAAAACCATCTTGAAACCGAAGGCTGATTACCTCAAGGAGTACTACGCCAATTAACATCCCCCATTATTATTCCATATGTACAGTTGATAATAAAAATATATAAAACGATTACAAAACAATTGTTTGAGAATCCTACGAGCACTGGAATTCATCGAGTTTTTCACTTGAGGGCCAGATCGTACCACAATTTTTCCCTCTTGACGACGTTTATAATCATCTCCTGGCTGACATTCCACAATCTAGAGGCCAAGGTGGCGTCCAGGGAGGCGTTTGATGGATCACATCTGAAACAGTTGTTGAAATAAAGTCCTGTGGCCCCTTCCAACTCTGGCGCTGCTGCACAGAAGACAGAGGTGCTTGCTGCCTGCTGCAGGGACTTTGTGAAGGGTCTCACGAGAGCGAAGAGGAATCTGTAGAGCCAGGAGTAACGGGATAACTCTGTGGAGACCATATTTCCTGATTGAATGGAGAAAAGAAATTATTTCAATAACTCATTTTTGGAGTTTTATAAAAAAGAATTCGATATTTTTTCATTTTAATCCTCAATTATTATTGTTTCAGGTACATATATACCCGTGATGATTATAAAAACGTAAAATTGTTAGTTGTTTTTTTTTTATTATTGATTTACCTGGATGACAGCTGAAGACATTGACTGAGGGCCATCTCCTGGCCAGTTCCTGGGCGAAGAGAATGTTGCAGAGTTTAGAGTCGTTGTAGGATGCCATCTGCCAGTATTTGTAGGCTGGGGGCGAGAGGGTCAGGGGGTGAATGTCTTCAGGTGTTTGAATAGTTGAAAATCTAAATGACAAAATGGGAATTTATCATTTAGATAATTAATCCATTCAATAGAAAAGGACAAGGCACGAACCAGAATTCAACAAGGCATTTCATGCCGAGCATTTGCTTGTCTGAAGGGTATTGTTTGGAAAGAAAAATTGTGTCAGTGGAGTTTCACCTATTCTGAGGTTGTCAAATGGAATATATAAAATAAAATAAGTTTAGGGACTCAAGAAAAAATAATAATTATGATTTTATGATCATTTATTGAAAATGATGATCATTATTTCTGCAAACATTTCCTCAATTCTCCAATCAACTTATCTCGAAGTTGAAAAAAAAAAATTTTGTACCTGTGAGATTCACTGGAGACAATCACAACTCTAGGATTTTTGCTGCTTCTGATTGGATGCTCCAGGAGTAGTGTTAAATAGTATTGAGCAAGATGATTGACTTGAAAGGTCATTTCGTAACCATCTTGAGTCAGAGTGTATGGTAATGCGAATACACCAGCGTTTAGAATCAACATGTCGAGAGTTCTGAAGCATGGAAAATTTTTAATTTGCGTTAATCTTAATCGATTGGTTCGTCAAACAAAAAAGAGTGCCATGATGTTTCTTGTGTGGTACCTGTACTTCTGTTTGAACTTCTCCGCCGCCTCTTTGACACTATGCAGCGAGGACAGATCAATCTGTAGAGTATCACATGTCACGTTTTCCCTTTCGTTTTTTATCTCTTCGATGGCAGCTTCCGCTTTTTCCTCGTTTCTACAGGCGAAAATTACTGTGCATCCGTGGAAAGCTAGGGATCTAGCTGTTTGGAAGCCTGAAAAGTATGCCGTGATTTTTTTTATGGCTGAAGAGGATTGTTTGATGATGGGGAACACCACGGGATAGATAAATCTTCTCAGTGGAACATTTCACAACGACAAAATCGTGGGATTCAAAGTTGAGTTGTTACTAAGGAAATCCTAGAGAGTTTCTTCTCCGCACAGTCAGGAAGTATGAAGAGAAAAATTTATTTATGCAAACATTTTTTTTGAGACAAGAATGCAAATAAAAATCTCATGTAAATCACGAGCATTTGCTTGTCTATAGCATATTTATTTGGAAAAAATGATTGTTTTTTTCTCAGCATAGTGTCACCTATTCTGAGGTTGTCAAATGGAATATATAAAATATTATGATGTACCTATGCCAGTATTAGCACCAGTAACAATTGCTATTTTTCCCCTCAAGTCCCTGCCGTGCAGGACTGCGAGGGCGGGGGTACTAGCATCAAATCTTTGTCTGACTGGTTGCAAAGGTTCTCTGTACTCAGTGGCAAATGCCAATCGTGGGTCAGTGTAAGTCGTCGTTCTATTTGTATGATCGACGAATACAACTTTTCCATCGTCGGAGACACATTTCTCCCACCCAGAAGGCAGGTCTGAAACAATTCATCTGTTCGTTGCAGACAATTGACATTTCCATGGAAATTGAAATTAATCAATTAATTTAATTAATTTAATCAATTCATTAATTTCACGATAATTACCTCCTTCAACTATTTTCTTTCGACCCGTCCGTGGATGCGTCCACTGCGTTCCTTTCGTATAATGACTGCAATAAAAAAAATAATTATCCCAGGAATATTGATGGAAACGCTGGTACTCACCAAGAATTTCTGATGAGATCATAAATTCATTGCAGAATATTAAATGAAGAGAATGTAAAAAAATTGATTAAATCAAATTGATAAATTCATTCGCCGATAACATTTAGAACTTTTCCATGCACTTTCATTCCGCTGTATAAATTATTGCAAGACAGAGTTTTTGTTGAAAAAAAAATGAAGGGCTAATTCTATGAATGTGAATTGTTTTGGAGTCGTCAGCCGTCAGTAATCAAAATATAACCTGCAGACAAGAGTTATTTAGGACTCACTTGACGTAGTAAACATTTCCGTCGAGCGTGGCCCGCTCCTCCCACCCAGGGGGTAGTTCATCCTCACTATCGGAGTCGTGTAAAATACTGACCATTATGGATTTCACACGTTATGGAGTGATTCGCTCGCCGGAGTGCACCGATGTGTGATTTTTGCTTCGATGTATATCATTCTTGGGGTTCTTTATCGACTGAGCAATTCCAAGTATTTAAAACTACTCAAAAATTATAATTCGAAAACTATAATTTTGGATTATTTGTTTCGGCATAAAGAGAGGATCTGAAGTCTTACTTTGGGTTCATACGAGATTTTGCGTGAATTTGGCTGTTGGGTCTTTATGAACTGCGCCAAGCCACCGGGTACAAAATGGAAGATTGAAAATGAATCATTCTCGATTTGACATGTCACAAGGGCCAAGTGGGTGAGCCGCTAATACGCTAGTTTGTCATCCAGACGACCGGGGTTCGATTCCCCGTTGAATCATAATTTGTCGAACTTTAATTGGCCTAGCCGCAGTGGCGAAATTGGTTAACGCGCCAGAATCGATATAGGAATGCGTAAAATGCGCGTAAAATGTCTACAAATTGCATAAATTTCATAAATGTCCCTAGAAGGTGGGATGGCCGTCGTAAATCTGGAGGTCTCGGTTCAAATCCGGGCTGCGGCACATTTTTTTCCTCAAAACCCCTCACCCGTAAAAAAATTTAGAATATCTTTTTTAAAGTATCTGCAAATGCTCTAGAAAACCCAGAAATTTTCTAAAATATTCTAAAATTTTTCAGAAAATCTCCAGATTTTCTCGTGTTTTTCAACAAGTCCCAATTTTTTTGAAAGTTTCAAAACACCTGAGAATTTTTTTGATTTTTTTAAATATAGAAATGTTTGTATATCTCCAGACAGTTCTAGATTTTTTCTGAATTCGAAAAATTTAATTTTGAGAAAAAAAAAATTAAAAAAACAACGTTGAATTCATGAATACTCAAGAATTTTATTTTGTTCATCTTCCAATATTATAATCTTTTACAAAATAATTACACAACGTTATAATTGAAAAATATAGCAATTTCTAAAGACTATTTATCTACCAACATATTCGAAAATTCATTAATGATCAAATATACTGTGTACTAATATTGATATAGTTGCTTTGCAAACGCGTCTTTCCATTGTCCTAAATTCCTCCCCCCCGCAATTCACCCCTCATCTCCCTGGATAAATCCTCATAATGAAAAACAGTAATACAAAATATAGTGCAATGAGTAAATACGCTATACATAATAAGGAGGGAATTCATCTCTATGTAACCACATTTGTTTCATCTCTCGTCTTATAAAAATCATGCCTGAAGTTGGAGTTTTAAATCGTCAAAGTCCACTTATTTACGAGATAAAATAATCTCTCTATAACATCGGTAAGGCTACAATTTTCATTATTGTTAATGTCTACGATAGATTAATATCTGTTCATTAAAAGATTTGTATCTCTCTGTCTTATGGCTGTCCACGTGAGACCATTTCAGCTAGCCACATTATCGCAATTATAATATAAAAAGTATGATAACAAGCTGCTCAACGTATCACTATTCGGTGCTGTTAAACTTAAGAGAAAATGTAGCAATAAATAATAATTAAAAAAAGTAAATGAATGTTGTATATTTGTAGATAATTGACGTTATATCTAGGACCAATTCTATATCCTATCGATGAAAATCAAACAATTTGTGAAAATTTTCGTCATTAATCTCGTCTTCATAAACAAAATCCTATTCTTATATCACATACATATTGAGGATAATATTTAAAAGGTTTTTGAAAATATGAGGTGAGATATTCTGTTTTTTTTTCATTGCAAGGAATGTCGATTTATCGAGTTATTAATAAATTTGTTAATCTCTTATTAATTTTTAAAATGTTGATTCTCGAGAATTTTATAATTTCTAGCACAATTAGTTCTTTTCTTTCGTTCTTTCGAGTGTATTTTCAATAGATCTGAGTGTATATTAAATATAAATATTATGTTTGATTCATAATAAATATATTTCAACGAATTCGTCAAGTTAGATTGACGAATTTAATTTGATTAGTTGATTCTAATAATATTTTTCGTAAAAAAAATGTTCTGAAATAATAACTAAAAAAAATTTGATGCAATTTGATTATTCACAAAAAATCTGGTGAACTCGTGAGTCAATACGTCACTAAAATCGATTTACAGTTGATATAGACGATTCTAAACGTCAACAGAGTTCGTAAGATTATCCAGACAAAAGAAAAATTGTTTAGACTCTGGATTTTTTATCGAATAACAGAAAATAAACAAAAAGAAAATACTGCATTCTCCCTAATTGAAGGTATTTACATTTCTTTTTTTTTTCATTCCTCTAACTTCTAGTATTAGTGTTATTGTTATTGTTGTTTGTTGGACTCAGTGGATTTCCGATATTGTCGATTTCCCTTTGGGCCCGGGATATTTTCACTTTGTCCCTGGGGGTGCCATCCTCACCCGTCTCCATTGCAAACATCTTCATCTTTTCTTTGAAACTCAACTTTTCGGGGACTTCTCCTAGGGCATTTAACTGCTGTTTTTGCTTTTCAGCCAATCGTTTTTGTCTGGGATCTCTGTAAAAATTTAAAAACGATCACAATTTTTTTTATAATTGAGAAATTATTGGAGTATAAAAAAATTATTATAATACTTTTTTTTTTTTCATTATTTTTGGAATTTTTTTATAGTTAAAGAATTATTTTGTTCAAGAAAACATGAAATTTTTATTCATGTACGAAGTATGACAAAAAATATTTGAAAAATAGTTTAAATGAAACTTATCAATTGTTAAAAATACAAGGAAAACTCACTTGTAAACTTCCTGTGCTCCTATAACCCCTGGTGTTGCAGTGGAAAAGAGTCCACCAGGGCCTTCCGGAGTCTTTGGAGATGCCAGCAGTATCTCCGCGTCATTTATAAAGTTCTAAAATCAAAGACGAACCAAAAATCAATCAAATATCCCTCGAAACTCTTTCTACCCTCAATGTAACATCTCTCGCAATGCAAATAATGAAGAAAACACAATAAAATCGACGGTAATGGCGATGAGGCTGAGATGATACTGATGATGATCATAATCATGCATAAAACTGGAACATTTATCTCAAATAAAACACGCATTAAAATTTAATTTTACTGTACTACCTTACTTGGACAACTGCAAAGGTGTGCGTTGTGACAAAATTTGTCAATTATTATTTGTTGATTTGTTAATTAATAATTTATCCTTCATACAAATTAAATAAATAGAATTTTTTCAAAATTATTATCAATAACTTTAAGTAAATCAAAAAAATTAATAAAAGTGATCATTTATTTTTTTATTTTTCAAGTTATAATTCAATTTTTATTCAGGAAAACAAATTCCCAATAATGATTGTTCTCCAATAATTGAACATTTTCCAAACAATTTTTTTTATTTTTATGAATATTTTTTAATACATGAAAAAAATTATAAAAATTAATTCGTGAACTTGAATTAGCTACTTGTTGATTTTATAATTTATACTCTATTTTCCATCCAAGAAATTAAATCCCCAATCACACTTATTCTCAAATAATTGAACATTTCTGAAATCAATTATTGAAAAATTTTTATCAATCGCTTTTAAAAAATGAAAAAAATTAATAAAAATTGAACAATGACTCCCCAACAATTATTTGTTGCTTCTATAATTTATCACCTATTCTTCATCTGAGAAGGTAAATCCCCAATACCGATTTCTCAAATGAAAGTTAAACATTTCCCAGATCGAAAACTTTGTTTTCAATTTCTTATTACTCGTTTTTAATGAAAAAGTAAAAATTGAAAGTAAAAATTAATTAAACTTACGTTAGGATCCTCCCGAATAGTATCCATACCACTCATGGACGAAGGATTGCTGGAGACCCCAGTGCTCCTCGTCTCAACATTGGCATTGGGATCGTGGAAGGACACCCTCTTTGTGGTGGCAACATGCTGTCCAATAGGAGCATTAGAAGCACTCGAGGTGTTGGACCTCATGGCACTCTGCTGCGACATAACCGCATAGCTGGAGCCCCTCTCAGGTGGCGGTGGTGCCTCACCAGGGGGTGAGCTAGGTCCGTTGATCACAAGGTTGTCGAGCCTGAGCATTCCTGGGTGGAGCTGATTCTTGTTATACACTTGCTGCATTCGGAGTTCCTCCTCCCTCTTCCTCTGGTTCTCGTCGAATTCGTTCTGCTTCCTCTTGAGCTCCTCGATCCTCCTCTGGCGCTCACGATCTTCGCTGTATCCAGTCGGCAATTGTTTCCCGGGAAATTGGCCGGAGGTGTAGCTCGAGGCCATCGAAGAGCCGATGCTCATCTGCAAAAATTTCACAATTTTTGCATTTTTTTAAATTTTTCAACATTTTTTTTCTATTTTTCAAAATATTTTTCTCCAATTTTTTGGGTTCTTTAGAATATTTTTTCTCGATTTGTTTAGAATGCTTAATAATTGTTTAGAACATTTCAGAAGTGTTTTAGATTTTTAAAAATATTTTTTAGAATTGTTTTCTTTTTATTTCAATTGATGATAGTTCTGTGAAAAAATAGAAGAAGAGAATACTGAAATAAGAATTTAACAAAAGAGAACCCATTCGAAAGCAAATTTCTACACTCATTCATTAAAAAATGCCATTGTCATCCCAAAAAATATTCACCTGAAAATTTTACTCACCGAATTAACCTCGTTCCCCCCATAGACGCCCCCCTGCTGGCCCTGACTGGTGGCCGTATGCAACGAGACACTTGTTGATTGCAGTTGACTCCCCACAGGCTGCGGTGACAGGGGCTGCCCTCTCATCGACTGATTACTAGTGCTTGTTCTTAATACTAATAAATTCGTCTGATTGTTTCGGTCGTGCGTGGCTGCCATTCTCAGGAGTCCCTGCACCCTCTGGGCACTTTCATTATCAATCTCCGTGCTCTCGTCGTCGTCGTCCTGCTGATTGGCAACCTCCTCCGCACGCTTCTGGAAATCACGCTCCAGTTGCAGCGCCCGCAGCTGCTCCTCTTGTTGGGGCGTTCTGCTCATTAATGCGGATAATTCCGCGATCTGCTGGTCCCGCCAGAGCTTGGCGGCCTCGCGACGACGCGCCTGCTCTTTTTCACGCTCCTCTCGCTGCCAGGGGTTCGTCGCGTTGTACTGGTACTGACGCGGCTGCTGGGTTGTTGTTGTTGTTGTTGCGGGGTAGTAACTGCCTCTTGGGGGATCCTGCATACTTGCAGTGTACCTGGCGGAGGTGAAGGGGGCGGGGTTATTGGTGAGAAAAAAAATTCTAGTTGAAAAAAAAAATCTTTAAAATTTTTAGTAAGGGTCACGAGGGTCACCGGTGACTGGCGCTTGACCCTCAAGATAATACTATTTCAGGACTCAAAAAAAAATTGTCTTGCATTTTTTCATTTTTAATAAAAAAAAAATTTAATTTTTCTCAAGTAGAATTTTTTTTTAAAAAGTACTTTAAATTTTTTTTAAAGTGTTGTTAAAATTATTAGTAAGGACCACGAGGGTCAGGTGAATTACTTATGCATCCGTAAAAATATCATGCATATCATGAAACAACGGCAGCATTAAAAGAAATTTTTTTCGAAACGAAAAAAAAAAAAATTTTTATTCTCAATACGTTGCGCCGCTCCGGCAGTATAAGGACGGTTTTATGTCGACGGTTTCTCAACTGTTCTCGTGGTGTAGTCGGTCATCACATCCGCCTAACACGCGGAAGGTCCCCGGTTCGAACCCGGGCGAGAACAATTTTTTAATTTTTTTTTTCTTGAAAATTGAAATTAATCAACATTTGATACACCTCTATTATTTTTCCATATTAATTTCGATTGTATACTGTGTTACAAGTGCGTAAAACGTAGTGAGTATATCATCACCGTTAACTAGTACATATGGCTCCCTCAATTGATCAACTTTATTTTCATCGAATGTTGTTCATAATAGTTATATTACAACCATAACAATATCGCACACATAATGAAAAAATATTTTAAATTGTTTTTTCATTTTTTCGAAATGAGAATAAAAACTTTGTTTTTGCTCTCAATACTTTTCTCCGGTCCCGCAGTATAAGACCAGTTTTATGTCGACAGTTCCTCAACTGTTCTCGTGGTGTAGTCGGTCATCACATCCGCCTAACACGCGGAAGGTCCCCGGTTCGAACCCGGGCGAGAACAATTTTTTAATTTTTTTTTCTTGAAAATTGAAATTAATCACCATTTGATACACCTCTATTATTTTTCCATATTAATTTCGATTATATACTGTGTTACAAGTGCGTAAAACGTAGTGAGTATATCATCACCGTTAACTAGTACATATGGCTCCCTCAATTGATCAGTTTGATTTTCATCGAAACGATAAAAAATGAAATAAAAAATTTTCAACAGATAATTGAATCCATTCCGAGACCGTGAGCGAAACATAAAAAATTGAACGCACAAAATAAAAACGAAGATTGATTCCAAAGTTTTTCCAGTATTACCCCTCGAAGGATAGTGTAGGAAATCCACTAGAGTTACCGGCATTCGATTAACCCTCTTGTATACATAGCACTATCCTATCTATTTTTCTGATATCTTACGCGCAGGTTTTGCTATTTTGCACTCGGTCTTCCAATGAATTGAATAATGTATTCAAAAAATTAAATTCCCTTCCGCATCGTTCGGATATCCCCAATTTCATATCCTGATTTATTTATATTATTTTTTTTCCATTTTGTTTTACTTTCAATGTTTTCAATCTTTTCTACATTTTTTGTAATCTAATGTATTTTCTTATGGCTCCGAAGGGATTTCGTCGCGAAGTCTTTTCCAATTAACATAAAAATGACGATAAATCATCAACCATTTTCTCTCTCATTACTTCTTCCCTTGAAATTTGAAATAAACTAGTCCTGAAGAGGAACCGCACGTGGATGAAAGCATCACTTGATTTACGACAAAAGTTTGATTGTACCTCTTCCGCCATAAAAACTTCACTCGACTCGAGGCCCATAAAAACCTGAACCCGTATTAAAAGTAAAAAAAAAGATACTTACCCAGAATCAGTTTGCTTCGTATACAAGGGATGCGTAGAAGTATTCAGGGGTGGTGGTGGTGGGCTCTCCCTGTACCCGCTGTCCTCCGGCAGGGCAGGTCTCACAGGTGGTGACACCTCGTCGGCATGCCCCTCCCCGCCATTTTGTCCCCTGACCCCCTCGCCGGAATACTGTCCATTAGAATACTGCCCCCCCATGTACACCCGGTTCTGCTCAGCCAAGTGTCCCTGATCATTCCCATGGCCCCTGTTGTGCTCAGCCGCATTAACCAGTCCCACCCTCGTAAGATCTACCTTCTTCGGAACAACCGCGTACTGATTCTGCATCTGCTTATTATTGAACTGTCCATAATAATTGAATGTCGGCGAGTTGGTGGCAAGATTGGGAGTCGATCCCACCGGTGGCCTAGCCGGTCTGATGGCGTTGCCAGCTTGAGCTGATGTAATTGGTCTAGAGCTGTAAGCATTTGGTCGGTACTGATTAGTCAGCTGTGGATTGCCACCCCTCAGCTCTCTCCTCCTGACTTCCTCCTGCATCTCCTGGAGCTTGGCCTCCTGTCGGATTATGTCCCTAGACGACTGCGACCTCGGCTGCTGCATGGGATGCTGCATCTGGCCGGCGTAAGGCTGTTGTCCCTGAGGAATGTAAGCGGAAATCGGTCTGTCCCTGGACAGCGTCTGGTGATTGACTTCCGTTCCCGGTCGGTTCAGGGAGTTCTGGGAACCCCGCAAACTCTTCTGACCATGCAGACCCGTCCTCTCGTCCAACGGCTGCGGCGGACTCGGCTGCTGCTTGACATTGGGATCCTGATGTCTGTAGACGCTAAGGTTCTGATAGAATCGCTCTGCCTCGTTGCTCTGAAGACTTCCCACATTTGCCGGATGTGTCGGATGGAGATTCGGCGAGGATTGCTGTCTACTTACTAATCCCGAGGGGGGCAGGGTTCCTGCTCTCATCGGATCATGCAGATTGTGGCTTGACCTTAAGGAGGTTTAAGTAACGCTCAATTACATGGGTTTTCGCTGGGGACGAAGTTGGGTGATTAGGTTACGGAAAGTTTTGAGATTAATTACCGTGATCGGAGGGAAGTTGCGCCGTTCATAGCGGGCATTGGGGGCGGCTGGACTGGGGGGGTTACACTGTTACTTGATGATGCACGGCTGTAGCCTGGATTGAAGACTTCGTGCTGCTGCTTACCCTCGATTGTTCCTACGTCTAAGAAATTGTCTTGAAGTTTTTTGGCGGGTGATTGTCTTGGTGTCGGGGGGGTTTGGGTTGTCGGGGGACTATTAGTGGACAAACGTGGTGACAGGAAAATTTTGTGCTCAAGCGATTAGCGGGTCCACCAATGACTTTTTTTCTTGTTGCGACAATTCCTCCTCGACAATTTGGCCGGAGACATTTCTCCTTAATGGCAATGGCATTTAATGACTTGCTGGAGTAGAGGGAGATCTCTACGCGATCGAACCCTCATCTACCCTTCCTACGGACGTACGGGGATGACACTTTACGGGAAGTGAAGGAAATTCACTAATTCGCCCAAATTTGCCCACGCCCTCAACATTAACGACAAAGAGGAAGAGGATGAGATGTCTTAGGGTCAATTGTCGGGGATGAGTTGTCGGACAACCGTTGGATTTACTTACTGTGAAGTGCTGGTACTGATTTACTGCTGTGAATTTGATGGTGCGTCGTTTCATGTCCAATTCGTGATGGCAGATCGCGTTCGCTCATGCGACGTGGTCCTATCATAGCGAATGATGCAGAAAATTTCTTTAATGCTGTCATGCGACTAGATTATTTTCACGGACATTGGCATGCACTATCTTACTGTTATCAATTGTGCATTAATTGAACGGCATGCTTAATATTGACATAACACAAAACAATCGGTAAATAATTAATCATAATTGATGAATGGTTGGATGGGGATGAAATAATAAATAAGACTCTTCGTCAATAATTCACGTAAATGTACAACAGAACCAGGCTCATGTGCTATTACACGTATATTCTGTATTTGTCGAGCTTACGGGGATCGTTATCGATTTCCAACGACGGAAACTCACGGAATATCCAATCGCCCCGCTCGAACCTCGGGGTGGGTTTGCGCTCGGAAATATCCAGATCGCTTTTGGATTTCTTTCTCAAGACCATCAGAGACTTTTTCTTTATCGGTTTTGCGATCTTAGAGTCCTTACTTCGTATGGGAATTACTGTTTCGGAGGAAGATGACAGTCTTTTCGATCGCTGGACGGTCTCCATAGAGGCCCTCGACAACTTCCTCCTGAATTCGTCGTTCAAGACCGCTTGACTCTTTGTCATTCCAGAAGACTCTTCTAGGTTGTCTAGCGATTGACTCGTCTCGATTTTTTCGGACTTCTCATTCGCGAGTTTATCCTCACTTTTAGACTTGAATTTCGTCTTTATGAAGGAATTCGGAAATTTAGTTTTCGTAGGAAGTCCTTCAACACCCGATGAAAAATTCACGGGACTCGAGGCGCACTCCCTCGTCCCCCCAATATTGACAACTTTATCTCTATCATCTTCACTAATGGATATTCTACTTTCTATCGTGACATTCTCCCTCCCCAATTTGTTCGCATTCATCGATTTAACCCGCAAAAAATTTCTGTCTTCATGAAATATTACCGGCTCAGATGTCACCTTTGAACACTTTCGTTCTTCAGTCGGTATCAGATCTTTGAGAGACCAGTATTTCTCCAATTTGTTGATTTTTGTGTCTGGATGAATGCTGACCGTGCTCATGACGGTAGGGGAAGCCCCTCCTTTCAGATTATCAAGGCTCATGCTCCCCCTTATGACAGTGCTCTGACCTTCTGAGAGATCCGTGAAAGATAGCTTAGACCGGTCAATTCCTTCGTTGGAGTTGCTCCAATGGCCTTCCACCGTTAACGATGATGACATTGAATTGATCCTCTCGTTATCACAATTGGGAATGTACAGGGGTGCATCGACATTATCAAGATTACAGAATTCCTGCAGCTGTTTTATGATCTCCTGCTGCTCTGCCATCGACAGCTTCGACTCGCTCCTCCTCAATTCTTGACTCGTTGACATTATCTTCTGAGTATTTCTGGTCTGCCCTTCATCGATCTCATTTTTCGTCTGTATGTCCAATAGAATCATACTCCACTCCCTCTCGGGTGTTGTAGCCACACTCTTGTCAGCTTTCAACAAGTCGGTCTCTGATTTACTCATATCCCTCGGTCTCCTGGCACAACCAAAGTCCCGTGGTGACGCCATATCCGGCTCAGACACAAACTGCCTTGATGAACCAAGTTTTACGGATTTGAATTTAATCAAACCAGCTTCCCCGAGTTGGGAGAAGTGTTTAGCTAGTGCAGCAACTCTACCACAACCCAGGCGTATTTCCTCCGGGGATTTCCAGCATTTTTCAGTTGCCGATTCATCGCTGGAGACGTCGCTATTTAAACCAGTGAGATCTAAATTTAATTCCGGCATTATTGTGTGCATTTTCGGTGGTGATGTGCTATTCTCGGAATGTTTGTCATCTTTTTTCGAGGATATATCCTCCGCCTCGGAGGTCTCCACCTCCTGATACTGTAATTCCGCCGGATTTAGACTGGTTTTCGGCGATTTCTCGTCGCACAACTTGTGCATTTGACAGTGGGCAATGTGAGCGTGACAACAGCAGTGAGGGGATGGCACATTTTGTCTGTCTTTGTGAATGGGGCAATTGGTCTCGTCACTCTTCGCCTCGTCTTCAGGCTTATTTTCGTCATTAGCCCCCTCACACGTGTCATCGAACTGATCTATGAAGGGAATTGACTCTGTGATACCCAAAAATGTCTGGCAATCGTGTGCCTCGTCATTGCATTCAAAACTCATGGTTGGAAATGTCAGATCAGTCTTATCTTCGCTGTAATACCCGCACCTCGACATGTCCCCCTGTATCGGGGTGTTACTAGGTACACTTGGTTCTGGTGGCGGTGGATACCGCGGATATCGCTCGAGGTGGCTCGGAATAGTTAGGAACATTTGGGGCTCTTGTATTATAGGAATTGGTCGTTTATTGGTCCATTTTTGATTTTTCGGCCATACGTACTCCTCGTCAATCGGGGATTCGTCGATTGGATATATGTTAAGACACGAATTGTGAATATTTTGACGGTTAAGAGTCTTGTTGGGTATACCTAGACCAGAGTGGGTGGGGGATTTGAGGTTAGTCGATTGTTTTGGATTTTTACATATATTATTCGCACCTGGCTGGGGCCGCTCGGGCCCTGTGTCCCAATCCACCAGACGCTCTTGATAGTGATCGGTTAGCATTGGGGTGGATAAGAGGTTACCCACTGAGTAGGATGTCGATGGTTGGGCCGTATCCCCCAAGCGTGGATGTTCTAACTGTTCAGACTTTGGACGAGCCTTATGCGCTGCGTTTTTTGTTTTTTTTTTTGTTAAAATTAAAGCGTTAGTTCAAGCCGTCATCTATTTGGGGTGTTATTGTTATTGCGGGCTTTCGGGGGAGGTTCGTGGGTTTAACGATGACGAAAGCAAAAGATTTTGGGGGTTCAATATTACGTATTGCGTTATTCGTTTTCTTGATAGACATGAAATTTGACCCTCGAAAGGGCCTGATCTTTGCGGACCTTTCAACCTTGAGAATGTTTTATTGGTAATTGATGCATATAACTACTCCTGAGAATTTTTCGAGGAAACTGAATAAGTTTAATGTTTAAAGTAAAATTGAAAAAACTGCTTTTAAAAGGAAAAGCGTAGAATAGAAGGGCCCGCACATCCACATGAGCATCCATGTAAGTGTGATGGCTCAAAAAGGTTAAATTCATTTATAGCAAACCAGGTCCCGACCTAAATTACGTCGATATGTTTCAAGACTAACATATAAACTGTAATAGTTACCCATCAGTAAACCGCGAAAATTGGAGTTGCTATATCAGCTAATTACCGTTTTATTCTCAACGAGGGTTGACCCTTGATGGATGAGAAGGGTTGATACAGCAGAAGAAATTGCTTACGTAATACTTGAATGACCCCTCAACAGAGACTTGTCACCAGAAATTTAGGAGTTGAAAATATTTGGTCAGGACTTACCTCGAGTCATTACAGGAGATGGCTGTGACAGTAATGTAGCAAGTCCATGATATATTGCACCCTGTTTAGCCACTTCAAGTGTTACAATTGGTCCCGTTCGCACTAAATATTCAGCAGCTCTGCAGAATAGGTATTCAACATTGAGAAAGAAATAATGAATGATCTTCTATTTTGGATAGAACTATTCACTCACTTTTCTTGAGTAATTCCTACTAGACTCTGGCCATCAACCTTGAGTAGTTGATCACCGGCTGTCAATCGGCCGTCCTTAAAAGAGAGAACAAAACACAAAATTGGAGATTTATCGAGAGTTGTGGGTTAATGTTGAGAGAAATTCGGGGGAAAACTCACGGCGTCAGCAGCTCCTCCGGCTACTACACTCTTGATATAAATGCCCAGACGATCCTGCCCGGCACCCTGAAAGAGACAAAGACTCCTGACTCAAGGGGGTACATATATACAATAACATAAATACATGTGAATAACGGTATAACAACGAGAAGAATAACGGCTGTGATATACATGAGGAGTAGAAAAAGAAAAAATAGAAAGACGGAAATCCGCATTTAAACTCGATCCGTCTAGCGTGACAGGCGTGGCGCACGGGCCGCTGGTCACATGTGGGAAAATGTAAATCCCAAGATCTCAACAACATCTTTATAGTTGTTGTAAACATGGAACTGCAAAATTGGAGAAAGAGGAATTGTCAAAATGAAAAAGAAATTGTTTCATTAAAACTTTCTCTTTTTCTGTTTAGGTATTTTAGTAGCCATAGCTGGAGCATAACCTTAATCACGGATTTCGCGCTGATTTGCATTCATGTGAACGAGCCATGAGATTTTTCAGAGGCCTGAAACACCGAGAGTGCAAGAGAGATAGTTGATATTTGATTATTCATTAATGATTATGACACCAAATCTACACGTGAAATTTCGCCCATTTTCTGGGGAGACGTAATTAATGAATTATTGTTCCAGACGATGTTTTCTCTTTGCTAATTTTGCCATGTGGAGTTAATTTCTAGTCAAATTCGTACCGTTTCGTCATCTCCAAACGACTGCTCAACTTTAATGATTAATATCTTCTGAAGTAAAGGTGAAAAATTTATGAAATAAAATCAAGGAAATGGAGGAAGATAGCCTGTTTCGAATGAATTAAGGTGTTTGCAACTGATAAAATCCCTTTAAAACTAAAAAAAGACATCTTACCTTGGCGGCAACGATGCTCAGCCCCATACCATTAGTCGACTTGTGTAGCTTGATAATCTGAATTTCCGGCTGACTGTGATTACCCCCATGTCCCCCAGAATACCCCCCAGATCGATTGCTCATAGCACTTGGGCTTCTGAAATTATTATGATGATCAATCATGTAAATGGTCCAGTATCCACTGCTAGTGGGTTGCGGTGCCATTCTGCAAAGGCCATCCCTCTGAAGTGGAGCGAGAAATTCAGCCAAGCCAGGTGGCACACCCCTTATAACCTCGCAACTGTAGCCATCCTCAGGTAGAAGTAGAGCCAAAGCAAGGGTTGGATCCTCCTCAAGCCTGATCTCCCTGCCATCAGCCCTGGCCAATGCATCAGCCACACTCTCAGCGATCCTCACGACATTTTCAATCAACTCCGGCGGCAATCGAGGCTCGTCAGCAGCCGGCTGATACTTCTGCAAAAGCGCCCTCACTTGGAGCGAATTGAGCTTGAAACATGTCGAGCTCAATGTCGCCAACTCCTCGGCATTGTACTTGGGCGCTTGAAGCAGATGGGTTGCTTGCATTATCGTGGCAAGATGACATTGACTGGCAAGCTCAAGACCTTGCCTCTCGGCCCACGTTTCCAGGGCATTTAACCGGGTCTTCAAACGCCTACCGAACCAACGAACGCACAGATTGCCGTTTGAAACTAAAGCATTGAAAGCCGTGGCGTTTATCGTGTGGAACAAATGGCTGAACAGTTGAATAGTCAAAGCGGCATTAACACGGCACCGTCGAAGTAGGGCCATTGTGTTTGAAAATATTTGCAAAACACCGGCTTCCTTCGCCGGCTCGTCAGCATCAGCCATGAATTGTGACATTGCCGGGGCCAATTCAAGGGATACACATCTTACTAATGAAGCGAACGCTGTCTGGACAGCGTCAGCCAAGATGTCTTGGGCGCGTGTGGAGAAGGCACCGACGTGTCGGTCACTCTTCAACATGTGGAGTAGCTCGGAACCGTTGGCCAACCAGAGGGCCAAGGACGAGGCGTCCATGTAACGCTCTTGGATCACTCGTTGGATCATTGTGGCAACGTTTGCCAGCATTACTGTTAATCTGTGCGCCCTCTCGGTTGGCTGGAGCTCCGGCCTGTAGTGGGTACTTGCTCGGTAGCGGGCGGCTAGGTACAGAGTATAGGTCGGGGCTAATTTGAATTGCGGGGCCGATGGCTCGACGTCGGTTATAACCGCGTGGAGGAATGCCTCTTCGGTTTCTTCGAGGAATTCTAGAACTGCTGGGAGAATTGGGTCGGTTCCGCGGGGTTGACGATCGTATTGTTGGGATAATCTGGAATTATAGGGGGTGATTTGGTAGTTTAACGTTCCTGTTCTTAAATGTTTAGGTGTGGTAAGTATGAGAGTCGTTGATCGAATGACAAGATGGCTAGAATCTTTAGACTTGATTCCTCGTGATTGTTGAAATATGTGAAACGTTTGGTAACAAGAATGAAGATCGACAAATGCTAGTCTATTGTGCAATTTGTACTGTCCGTGATGGACTTGACTGGGCAAAACTTCAGATGGACGATTCTGAAGATCGAATTGTTGGGATAATTTGGAATTATAGGGGGTGATTTGGTAGTTTAACGTTCCTGTTCTTAAATGTTTAGGTATGGTAAGTATGAGAGTCGTTGATCAAATGACAAGATGGCTAGAATCTTTAGACTTGATTCCTCATGATTGTTAAAATATGTGAAAGGTTTGGTAAGAATGAAGATCGACAAATGCTAGTCTATTGCGCAATTTGTACTGTCCGTGATGGACTTGACTGGGCAAAACTTCAGATGGACGATTCTGAAGATCGTATTGTTGGGATAATTTGAAATTATAGAGGGTGATTTGGTACTTTAACATTCCTGTTCTTAAATGTTCAGGTGTGGTAAGTATGAGAGTCGTTGATCGAATGACAAGATGGCTAGAATCTTTAGACTTGATTCCTCGTGATTGTTAAAATATGTGAAAGGTTTGGTAACAAGAATGAAGATCGACAAATGCTAGTCTATTGCGCAATTTGTACTGTCCGTGATGGACTTGACTGGGCAAAACTTCAGATGGACGATTCTGAAGATCGTATTGTTGGGATAATTTGGAATTATAGGGGGTGATTTGGTAGTTTAACATTCCTGTTCTTAAATGTTTAGGTGTGGTAAGTATGAGAGTCGTTGATCAAATGACAAGATGGCTAGAATCTTTAGACTTGATTCCTCGTGATTGTTAAAATATGTGAAAGGTTTGGTAACAAGAATGAAGATCGACAAATGCTAGTCTATTGCGCAATTTGTACTGTCCGTGATGGACTTGACTGGGCAAAACTTCAGATGGACGATTCTGAAGATCGTATTGTTGGGATAATTTGGAATTATAGGGAGTGATTTGGTGGTTTAACATTCCCGAGTCGTTGATCAAATGACAGGATGGCTGGAATCTTTATCCTGACTTAATTCCTCGTGATTGTTGAAACATGTGAAAGGTTTGGTAACAAGAATGAAGATCGTCAAATGCTAGTCTATTGTCTACTGTCGGCTGAATTGCCGTGAAGTTTTAACGTGCAGATTCTTTATGTGAACACTTACCTAATCCCGAAGATTTCATAGATATATATTCCTGTCTACAAACAATAACGATTGAACATGAAACTAAATTAACGTTACCTGTTGCTGTCTCGACTGCTGGTCAAACTGGCAGTCTCAACATTTCCATCTAAATCGAATGTCGTTTCGTAATTGTGTGTATTCTCAATGGGATGTGCATTTGTGGGACTCCGGGGATTAGCAGCTGCTGATTTTGTCGGGCTCGGTGGATTTGAATCTGGACCATCGTTCGGTGTCCCTGAGCCCGATCTATATTTCTCAGAATTCACGTCCTGGCTGTTCATGTCTGGTGAGCGTCTACATGATTTTGGGTGGGGATTCACGATGTAAAGCGAAATAAAATAATTATGGAAATGATAATAAAGGGGGCGTGCAGTCTAATGAAATTGTGGCACTGGGGCTTGTGCAAACATTCAGCTTGTGAGTTTATTGAAACGAGTATTTACCTGTCGTAGACGTAATCCATTTGCCTACTGGGCTCCTGGCGCTGCCTAATTCGATCCTCTGGGGTTGGATCAATGAACCGAAAGGTGTGCATTCGGCCGAATTTGATGATGGCACCATTCTTTAATATTAGAGATCGTATTTTTTAGAATAGTGTTGAATTTGTTAGATAAGCTGAAGCAAATCGCTGAAATTGAGACGCTTCTCTCTCCAAATTGAAGACATTAAGACATGTATACTAGACACTAGGCGTCTGACTCAAGGATCTTTTGAGTTGATTAATTCTCTCATTACAAAGTTCAGCAATTCTCTCATAGTTGACGATAAAAAAATTAGAATGGGATTAGTTCTACCTGTAGAATAGTGGTCTGATGTATCCTCTGATTGTTAACATAAGTGTGTGCATCCCTGGAGCATGGCGTGAGGGTAACAATGTTCTCGGTGAAGGCGATGACGCAGTGCCTGGGCATGACAGTGGGCCCAGTAAGGGTCAGCGTCTGGGCCTGGACAGCTTGAGGACCTATAGGCCTCTCTGATCCAACTTCAGTGACATTGGGCTGGAGGCGATGCTTAACCCCAGCTCCACCGGGAATCTCAGTGCCATCGGGGTTGAGCTCCAGGAGAAATGGCAATCTCTCGTCCTCGTACCTGTGATCAAATTCACTCCATTTGCCGGCTGGTTTCTTCTTCCTTTTTCTTGGTACGTAGTCCGCTGGTCTTCTCCTCACGTGGAACATTATGGAGCCTGCAACATTGAAAACATTTCGTCAACGTAATTTGATTGATTATTTCAATCAAAAAAAATAATTGGATTGATTATTTCTGAAGTTTTTTTTTATTTTATAGAAAGGGGAACTAGAGAAATCCTGAGGATGAAGAACATGAGGAATTTCTCACTTTTTAATTGTTTTCAATTTCTGTATACAAAAAATTATTTCATTTCTCATTTTGAGATCAATGTGACACAGTATGAAATTTGAGGAAAGGCGAACAATCGCCAGGGATTGGGTTTGAATCCACGACCTTCAAGCTTCCAGTCTGGGAGAATTTCTGCCTCAAAATTATTTTGAAACCAATATTCAGGGAAAGGTAAAAATTGCAACATTGCGGCAATGCTGGGGCAATGTTGGCTACCAACGTTGGGTCAAGTTTGAATTCAATGCATCCGTGAATTCAATTTAAAATACATCGTCATAGAAATTCCATTCCGAATTAAATTTCCAATTTCTAGCAAAAAATCTGTTGACTATTTTGTGACAAAAGGAATTTCCCACTTGTTTAACGTTATTTTTGCGACATTATTTCAATCAAATGAACGACTTCAAGATATTTTTTTTCCAATGAAAGAACACATGAAACGTTAAACCCGACATCGATATCTCCAACTCGTCGGCGGAAAAAATTATCGGATGCGCTCCCATAATCGTTGTAACTGCCCATTGCACAATTGAGGGTCTCTCTGTCGTCTATCCGGGTAACAACATTTGACAATAGCAATCATTGTAGCTCTCCCCCCCCACCCCTTGCGGACACCCGGGGCTCGATGAAACAATGAAATTATCGGGGAGGCAATTTTTTTATTCAATTTCATTGCTCCGTAGAAAGAGTCTCGTAAATGAAATGAGGTATTACCACACATCTTGATGCCTCTCCATCTCATATCCCGGAGGCCAATAATTATCTCTCGTGTGAAATGCTGAAGCACTAGTTTCGCGAATTTTTTAATGCGACTGAAATGTCTGGTGAAGAAATCGGCGGCACTGCTGGGACTTGACTAAAAATAACGACGTATCCGGTGGAAAGAAGAATTTGCGGAGGTGAAGGGGAAAGGGCGTATGTCGCCGAACCATTGGGGGAAAAAAAGTTGGAGAAACGGCACTTACGCCCTTTTTTCACTTTTGTTAATGCGAGATGTGTGAAATTCTGATCCTCATGAATATGGGAAATATAACTGATTTTCACGCTTCTGACCCCTATGGATTGTGACTTATTAATGCGTGAAATAAAAAAAAGGTCTGACCCTTACAATTTTTACTGGTGTTTGACTCTTATGAACGTCATTAAAATGAATTTTTGATCCTTAAGAATGTGTAGAATACAACAGACCTTGACCCTTATGGCCCTTATGGACTTTGACCCTCATAAATGTGTGAACAATACTAAATTCTGAGCCTTATTAATTTCGTTTGACCCTTATGGATGTTATAAGAATAAAATTCAGACCCTTACAAATGTTAGATATGACAAATTCTGACCCTTACGACCCTTACCGACCTTGTTTGAACTTTAGGGATGTCGGAAATGAGATTTTGACCCTTGGGAATGTGTAAAATAAAACAAATTCTGACCCTTACGATTCTTACCGATTTTGTTTGGCCCTTACGACCCCCTTTTGACCCTCACGGACTTCGACTCATGAATGGGTGAAACATGACAAATTCTGACCCTTATGAACGTCAAAAATGAGATGCTGGCCCTTACGAATGCGTAAAACAGCAAATCAGAAATGTTATAAAAATGAAATTCTGACCCTTACGATTCTTACCGATTTTGTTTGGCCCTTACGACCGCCTTTTGACCCTTATGAACGTCAAAAATGAGATTCTGGCCCTTACGAACGTGTAAAACAGCAAATCAGAAATGTTATAAAGATGATATTCTGACCCTTACGATCCTTACCGATTTTGTTTGGCCCTTACGACCGCCTTTTGACCCTTACGGACTTCGACTCATAAATGGTTGAAACATGACAAAATCTGACCCTTATGAACGTCAAAAATGAGATGCTGGCCCTCACGAATGTGTAAAACAGCAAATCAGAAATGTTATAAAGATGAAATTCTGACCCTTACGGCTGCATGGAGTACATAACACTCTGACCCTTGCGGCCCGACTCCACGACTCCCCGACGACGATCTTCCAACAACTATTCTAAATATTCACGATGCCCCCTAGCCCATGAGCCATAAGAAAAAGTAATCCTGCAAAATGTATTTCTCCGCAAAATAGAGTTGCTTATCACGATCGAGACAAAAGACCCTTCAGTCCTCCTCAATTACTTCATTCATCGCAAAACAGAACAGAACACAGAGCACAATATGTTCACCAGTTTCGAATTGACCGATACAGTTGCACTCAAACTTCTCGCAATTGTGTTACGCCCCCTCTTGTCTCCTCCAACACGTACACAAAACTTGGACAAGTTCTATTTTCGGTGAGTGAAGACGTTGGAATAAGCAATTGGATTAAATGCGAGTATCGGAGGAATAAAAGTTGACTCTTTCCACGCTTTAGTTGTAGTCGACTGAGACCCTTGGGAAGGGGCATACAACCATATCAAAGAGGAATCCTGTTCAGTCGTTGCTCTAGCGTGACGCTACGAGGCATTTTGCTAGTGGTGTCAGGTACGGTTGCACTGGGGTTGGGAGGGAGTTCTCAGTGTGGATTTATGCATGACGAGGCAGGGACATCTTTGCGACCAATGCGGATATTTGTCGATATTTTTTATGGGGGAGAGATGGGGCCTCAGGGGGTTCTCACGAATTGGAGAATTTCCCTTTTTCAATAGAGGATATTTATAGGTTGACCGTTCACTATGCCCTTTTTCCTCTCAGATTCGATCACTTTTTTCAATTCATTGTTGATAATTATTCTTACTGATAAAAGCAATACGATCGATGGGAATCATGTCCCAATTTATCAGCTGTTGAATTTTCATATTGCGATAAATGATTTGATGACTAAAACATATCAACAAAATATTCCCAAGAGCATTTAAAACCGGCCCATTAATTTTTGTCGCAGGGAAAAAACTGACTTTGTCATAAACGGAAGCAACCGTTTAACAAATAACGATAACAATCGTCGTAATATCAAAACCCCAACAAAAATAGCCGCAAAGTCCATGTGATATACCCTTGGTAAATCGATAAACCAACTTTATGGGGTCTAGGACAAAGCAGTTACTCGAAATCACCATTTGCATGACCATTCATTGAAAACATGCATTATCCACACGTGAATAATCCCCTCCCTCCCCCTTCCCCCCCCAGTCTGGCGGACAATATTCAATTCATTCGAAACATTTGTGGAAAAATTCAATTGGACTTTTGTAATTAAGAGGATCCCCCGGAGCGCTGATGCGGCTTGACATTTATAAAGTGCAGATGTATTCCAGCCAGTGGCTCAGAAAAGTTTCAACCCGTGTTTATATCTTGCTCATTGTCACTACGCAGTGTTCATTGTTTCGAAATGTCCATTATGCTCGTAAAAATGGGAAGAGAATTTTTCATAATTCGATGACTGACGGCGGATTTTTAGACAATGTGGATGGCACTCGTTTCCTTCGGAAATGTCGGCTGTTTTTTTTTTTCTTCCATTGTAAAAAGTATGAAATGATGATATTGATCTTGGAGTTTTCCCATATATTATTGAGGATTCTTTTGCGTGCGGTTATCCCTACTGCGGCTTTAGTCGCATGATTATTTAATGTGGAAGGTATATTTGAAGACAATTTTACGAGCCATGTTGCAATGATTTGTGGGAAATTGCGGAGTGGTGATGGGAAATCATCGTTTTCCGGAAATTGATCGGAATAGTTTTAATGATTAATTTGTGAGAAGCCAACGGTTATTTTGTACATTATTTCCTTCTATCATGTATAATTCATTGTTTATGTCATTTATTTAATTGAATAAGATTTCTTTTCAACTAATTTTGTCAGATTTTCAAGTTAGTTGAAAGTTATCATCATCATTGTTCTTATTACAGTTCTATCTCTCCCCTCAGCCCTTCGATAAAATGTTGATAGAAAAATTTTATTTACATATACTTGAATGAATTTGAAACATCACATTTGAAGAAACCTCACTCTCAGGGAAATTCATGAAAAATTCGAAATTTTCAACAATCATCATAAAAATCAAATTAATCAAAATAACGATTATTGCTATCGCCTTCATCTTCGAACTCGGTCAAAAGGACGTCCAAACAAATTTTTAAGCTGTCATTAAATCAATTCAGAAAATTTTTTTAGTTATCGCGGGACAACCGATTTCCGAAAAAATTCGAAAATTAAAAAACCAATCGATGAATTAAATTTTAATTAATGACGATTGATAGGGATCAACAATACCTACGTTTAAAAAAAAAGATGCAATTCCATCCATTTATTAACGAACAATTGAAGAAAATTTTTTTGGATCTGAATAATTACTTTTTGGTCGCTATAGCCGAAAAAATCGAAAATTAAAATTTAACGCATTACAGAGCTCCCATTCAATCGTGAAATTCAGTTGTTTGAGTTGAGATTCGAGATCGATAGTGTCATCCTCACCTCAATCAATCGACATGAGAAATTGAATGAAATCGATCGCCGACGCTCTACATGACTGTGATAGCCCACCTACATCATGAAAACGCAACAGGAAATCAAGCTGATAGGTACATTGGCCAGAGTCCAGGGCTATCAGCCCCAAGCCTCAACCCACCTCATTAGCCCTCCCCCATTCCACCTGTACCCCAGAATTAAATTGTTATAAAAATACCAGCCGCTACAATCACTGATACAACCCTCCATCAATTGACGTGCGTGACAATTGTCTCGCTATACATCACGCAAGGGTTATGGAGAATATAGGTCGTCCTGAATGATTGCCACCAATGCGGCAACCGGATTATTCCACGTGTTAAATGCTGACGGTTAGAACTGATTGATGTTCCATTATGTTTTATTATTCGTTAATT